TTCAGCAGGTCCGGCAGCATCTATGGAGAAAGGAAAGTGAGTCAATGTTTCGGGTCCACAAAGGGAGGAACGGTCGTGGAATATTTTTAGGGTAAAAGGAAAATTTCTACACTGGAAATAATCACCGAGGCACTCGATGCATATGTGACTATCACTGTTATATATTTTGATTGTTAAAGCAATTTTAAGTAATTTATTTATACTAGTATTTTATTATTGAAAATTCACTCCATAATAGCCTTTCACTAAAGAGTCCTATAGCTCACTGTGGAGTTCTGTAGCTCAGTGGTTAGAGCACTCACCTTGCAAGTGAGACACCTAGGTTCAATTCCAGACAGGGCGAAACCTTGGGCAAGTTTCCTTACTCCACATCTCTGATAATAATCCCTCCAAAACAAAACAATAATAAATTGGTCATTTCAATCCACGACTGTTTGTGAGACACTGCGCCCACAAATATACAGTCAATTCACTTCACAGTATATTCTGTGAAGCGCTTTGAGACACCTGGAAGACATGAAAAGCACTATATCAAATGTAAGGATTATTATTATTATAAAGAACACAACTTCTAAAATTGAGGAAAATGGAAATTGAGGCTGTGATTCAACAGATAATCACTAGATGGCACTGCAGGCCTTCTTAAAATAAATTTATGCAACATAAATTGCAGGCCATGTAATTAGGTATAAAAATTATATTTTTTCCACCTTGACAAGAAAGGCAAGTGGTCAACTGCTAAGCTTGCTGCCAATGTGACAAACTATTGCTAGAAAATGAATTCCATCAGCCCATTCTAGTTTTTGTCTTGTGTTTCTTCTCTCTACTCCCCAACTTTGTAAGCAAATAATAATCCTTGCATTTAATATAGCGCTTTTCATGTATTCTAGGCGTCTCAAAGCCGTAAAGTAAATTCACTGTATATTTGTGGGCGAAATATGGCAGCCAATAGCGCACAGCAATATCCCACAAACAGTCGTGGATTGAAGTGACCAATTTTTTTTTATCTTGAGGGATTATTATCAGGCTTGTGGAGTAAGGAAACTTGCCCAAGGTTTTGCCCTGCCGGAATCAAACCCAGGTCCCTCGCTTGCACGGGTGCTCTAACCACTGAGCACAGGTTACAGTCAAAGTCTTGACAAGTTAGCAAAAATCAGATTATGAATCAGTCTCTATGACTACATTAATGACTCACTGATGAGCTTGATTACCATGTTATTAAACCCATACTTCAAGGCTTGTTTTGGCTATTAATAGATTATTCTGCTTCCTGGTTGTGAAAGACCATAATTGCTTTAATTCTGACACTGCAGAACCCCCAGTACTCTGGAAGGAAACTTTGCTTCTTCTTATGCATATGTATGATTTATGGGACCTTTGGGAATGCCAGCTCGAACTCCAAAGAAAAATTCCATCTGGGTCTAGATTTACTCTATTTATGTAACAATTTAGAGCATCTAGAGTTTGTCAAATGTTCAAATTGTCTTAATTTTCAAACATAATTGTTTTCAAAGTTAAAACAGAATCAAACAATTCGCCAAATGCTAAAATGCTAAATATAAAAGATTCAATCTAGACCCAGGTGAAATTTGACCGATTCCTCTACTTCAAGATATAGCTAAGCTTCTGGAACGTAACAAGTACCTACTGCCTAAGTGGCCCTTTGTTGGTAAGACAAAGGAGTTGGAATTGAGGTATCGATAGCCATGATCTAATAGAGTGGTGGAACAGGCTCAAAGAGCTATGTTCCTAAGATAGTAATTTAAGACATGAAAATACCATAGCCTATGAAGGGTCTCTATATTGGAACGGCATTTCCTAGATATCCTGGAAAATAATTACATCCTGGCCAACAACCCTCCAGATTAATTGATCGTTAATTTCATGGTGTTAGAAGACTTCTCTGTTCAAAATGGTTGCCACGTTTGGCTAAATGTCACCGTGCCCATCTCTGTATAACACTCTTGAGATATAAGGCTCTATAAAAAAGTTCCCTTTCTTTGATGAAAGAACAACTATAGTGCTCTGTGATTAATACCCTGCAACCTTAACTTGAACCTGAGATATACAAGTGCAGTTTGTTGTTGTTGTTGAGATTCTGAAGACAGAATCATGGCAATGTAAAAAGTAGGTATATCATTGAAAACCATGTAAAAAGTAGGTATATCCACTAATTAGAAACAATGTCACAATCTTAAGGTTTCTTAAGTTCCTTAAGTGATGTCTAAAATCTCACTTCAGTTTCTGTTTGAATGCTGAAAAATATATTTTATTTCAGCAGTTGGTGAGTAATAGAAAATGATGTGATAGATTCTGCCTTCCAATACCAAAAGTAATGCACAGAGCTTTATTTTGATAAAATATGGAATGTGGAAAAAGGATTCACTTCTCAAAAGTATGTCCTGAAACTCCTGACTACATTTCCCAGCCAACTTTTTTAATTTTAGATCATACAGAACTACATGTACCAGAGTACTTTGTAAATCATAGGTAGATAATATTGTTTGGAGCAGAACTACATTTTCCAGCATGCAATTGGAGACATAATGTGATTATCCAGAGGTGGACTACATGTCCCAAGGCACTTTCGCATTCACATCCAGGCATTGGACACATCTTTATTCAGCCCTGGGTCAGCACTGGACCTACAATTTCCGTAGGCAGGCAGCTTGCTTGTGACTTGCCCCCAGCTCAGCCGCTGATCTGAAAATGTTTACCAATAAAAGTTTCAAGGAGGGGATCTGCCACCGGAAAGCAACCTTCTCCGAAGCACAGGCCTGCTGCGCAACACCTAACCCCTCCACACCATCATTGGTAGCCAAGCCTCAGCCATGATGCCCCTAATCTCTGGAACTCCATGACCCTTTAAGACGCTAGTCCAAATGAAGGCCGTGATATAAGTACAAATTGTTGTTTTGTTGATCCAATTTCACTGCTTTGGACGTCCCAAAGTTCTGGACAATCAGTGTTTCGGACCCGAGCTGAGGGTCGGTATCGGGGAGGGTGGAGGGCATGGGTGTTAGGAAGGTGATCAAAGGCATAGTCGAAGAGGAAGGTCTTGATATGGGTCTTGAGAAGGGGCGAGTTGGAGGGACTGCAGATTGGAGTTCCAGAGGATGAGGGCAGAGTGGCTGAAGGCCCGCCTGCCAATGGTGGGGGTTGGCAGGAAACGGGAAACAGGCTGGAGCCCGCTGCGCTTTGGGAGCATGCAGGTTGGTAGGTGGTTAGGAGGTCGCAGAGGTAGAAGGGAGCAAGGCCATGGAGAGCTTTGAAGGTGAGGACCAGGATGTTGAACTGTATCCTCTGTGTGATGGGAAGCCAGTGGAGTTGGACGAGGATGGGGGTGATAGGGTCACGGAGTCTGGTGTGAAACAGGACACGGGCTGCAGAGTTCTGGATGATCTGAAGCCTATGGAAGGAGGAGTTGGGGAGGCTGATAAGCAGGGAGTTTGCGTAGTCAAGCGTAGATGTTATGAATGGTTTTGGCAGGAGGCGGAGTAAGATGGTGGGAGAGCAGGGAGATGTTGAGGAGGTGGGGGAAAGCAGAGCGGGTCATGGCACAGATATGGAGTAGAAAGGATAGTTGATGGTCAAACAACAAGATTACATTTGTATTGCGCCTTAGACACCAAGGTTCCAGACTGGCTCAGTGAGGTGGATTGTGCTTCCTTGGATGGTGATGCTGTCAACGCCTGAGGCGTGGAGGCGCTGACGGGAGCCAATCAGGAGGGTCTTGGTCTTGTTGACTTTCAACTGAAGAAAGTCAGCTCTCATTCAGGACTTGGAAGTCTGACAGACATTCTGTCAGGACAGCTCTCTGTACCTCACCTCACGTCATCACCCCTCCCCCCACCCAACCGCTCAGCATCCAATTACACCACTGTGTCAGCGCTCCTGTGATAATATCCTGTTTGGAAATTAGTAACTGTTTTCAAACCGAAGAGCACCAGTGAAGGCGTTATTTCACACCACGCTGCAGCATGGTAATCGTGTGTATTTGAGCAACAACAACTTGCAATTATATAGCGTCCCTCATGCAGAGGAGGGTTCCAGGATGCTTGACAGTGGCGGAGTATGACACCAAGACTGGGGGAGGGAGGAGGTGAACAAGAGCAGGAAACAAGTGAGACTCTCGTCCCCAGAACAGGGCTCCAGCCCCCTCCCCAGCCACCAACAATCACCGCCCAGACCCAACACCCTCCTCCCTCAACATCCCCCCCTCTCCCCAACACCCTCCTCCCTCAACATCCCCTCCCCCAACACCCTCCTCCCTCAACATCCCCTCCCCCAACACCCTCCTCCCTCAACATCCCCTCCCCCAACACCCTCCTCCCTCAACATCCCCCCTCTCCCCAACACCCTCCTCCCTCAACATCCCCTCCCCCAACACCCTCCTCCCTCAACATCCCCTCCCCCAACACCCTCCTCCCTCAACATCCCCTCCCCCAACACCCTCCTCCCTCAACATCCCCTCCCCCAACACCCTCCTCCCTCAACATCCCCCCTCTCCCCAACACCCTCCTCCCTCAACATCCCCCCTCTCCCCAACACCCTCCTCCCTCAACATCCCCTCCCCCAACACCCTCCTCCCTCAACATCCCCCCCTCTCCCCAACACCCCTTCCCCCCAACATCCCCTCCAACACCCTCCTCCCTCAACATCCCCCCCATCTCACCCACACCCTCCTCCCCTTCCCCCCAACACGCTCTTCCCCCCAACATCCCCCCCTCCCCCCAACATCCCCCCTTCCCCCCAACACCCCCCCCTCCCCCCTCCTCCCCTTTCCCCCAACATCGCCTTCCCCCCAACACACCCCCCTCCCCCCAACACCCCCCCTGCCCCCGAGACGCTCAGGCGGGGGTGGGGTAGGAGGGGGGGGGGGGGTTGGCTGTGGGAGCGGTTGTGATTGGTGCGGCCGAGCGGCAGTTGGCGACCAATCGGCGCTGGCCTCAGGAGCAGGTGCCGGGGTGTCAGTGAGCCCGGCGGGGATTGGCGCCGGGGCTGTCAGGTGACCGCGCGCGGTTCATGGCGGTGAGGTGTTTTTTTTGGCTTAGGCCCGTGGCGAGTTCTGAGGCGAGTTTTTGAAAAAAAATTACTTTTTTTTAAATAAATAGGAAAAAAAAACCCCAAGAAGCGGTGAAGATTTCGCGGGTAACAACAACCACAGGAACTCGGTGCCCGGGCATTTGGAGGCTGCGTTAATATCCCGCCTGGCGAAGGCAGAGCAGAACAGAGCAGAGCGCGCCGTCAGCCCCCACCCCCACCCCAACTCGACTCGAAGGGAAGGGAGTCGAACGAGAGCCGGGAGGAGGAGGAGGAGGAGGAGGAGGCGGTCGAGGGAATTCACAGAGGGTCGGGAAAGGTGGTGAGTAACAGGGGCCGAGCACTGTCTGAGGAGGAGGAGGAGGAGGAAGGGGGGATTGAGAGCGACACCGACATCGAGGCCTGGGCCCAGTTCCTGCTTCAGGGGGATTTCCCTTAACTGGTAATGGGGATAGACACGAGGGATCAAATGCGATAAGAGGCTGTCAATCCTGCGGCGGTGTCTTCCCGTGGCGGGCGGACCCCAACTATACCTTCTCCGTGGACCGATGTAACCGAGAATCTGCCCCCCTCCCCTCCCTCCCTCTCTGCCTCCCTCCCTCAAGGAGAGGGTTTGGGATGTTGGAAGTTAAAGATTACGGAACTTGCGGCCTGACAAAGTTGTTTTAAGGTGTTGCCCTAACAGCTGGCCGAGTTGGGCTGAACTCATGGCTTCGAGTTGTGATACGAACCGTTATTGTGATGGTCGGGGGAGGGGGGACGGGCAGAGACAGCAGGAGAGAGTGGACGTGACCTGAGTCAGCGAGGACACGGCGCACACAGCGATTCATCCTCTTGCATAACAGGAAAACTTTCTCCCAAGTGTTAATGTGTGTTAATAATGCCCCTTTTGCTGACCTGTGCCACAGCTGTTGACATCCCACACGCAATAGAAATGAGAAATGTGATCAAAATAGCGATGTGTCAGTCCCAGATAGGGTCCCAGATGTTTCTAACCTGCTGTAGGAAGCAATTTTTAAACCGAAAATGAATGAGGTTTTGGAGTTCCAAACTCTTGGGAGTTTTGTTATTAACAAATAATAAGTGCAGTGTGTTTTCATGACTGATCCCATGGTGTCGTGGCCTGCTCTAAAAAGGCAGATAAAGCAGAGACTGAGAGAAGAACATATGCCATTGCCTTTGTAGAAACCTTTCCCTACAAGAGCAATTAAAATAAACTTGTCAAATGATCAGATCAGAAATTATATTATGACTATATCAAAAATGGATTGTGTATATTTTCAAATTGGAGTTTCCGTTTATCTCTTATTGTATTGATTAGAAATCTGCAAACTTGTGAGAAATCTAATCGTCTTTATATCGCTTCAATTAAACCTTTTCATTAGGCTTTTAAAAAAATTACATTTGAGGAAAGACAATCTAATGAAGCATGACAAATCTGCAGTACGGTCTATTATTGATTCAGTGTTATAGAACCATAGAAAAAGAACTGAAAAGATTGTTGAAGTATAAAAGTTTAATTTAAGAGCAATGACATGATCAGAAAAGCACCAATTCTATTGTGTGGAATTAGCTGATGGATCCAAAGGTATTTTCTGATCGTAAGATTGTTTAACCTCCTTTGAGCAACAATTCAATTTATTTATTACCCAAGGACATGGGCTGAAAATCTTTTGCAAGTTGAGGTTTAGCTGCTTGTAGTCATGATTTCAGTAAAATATTAAATTCTCTGTCAATGTTATTTGAAAATGTATTGATCATCTTTCCTCCTCTCAACTTTAAATATTTTTTGAATATTATAATTTGATAACAGAATACTGTATTGAAGATTACTCTACTCTTTTGGAAGATGTTTTATTATTTTGTTTTTATATAATAGGAATATTATTTTTGTATAATAGGAAGGCTTTTTGCAAATTCCAACCAACTATTGATACACTTTATACTTGATACCTTTAGTTATGTGCTTATGCCACAGAAATCAATAACCAATACAAAGACCCATTCAGTAATGCTTGTGGCATTGCATTTGAACAGGATACTGAGAAGTATTGGTTTAATAAGATCCGTTCTTGGAGAAACTTTAATAGTAGCTAAGTTGTGATTTGCTGTTCAGTAATTTATCAGAGATATCGTAAGTGTGTTTTTACTGTAGCAAAGAAATAATGATACTTCATATTACACATGGTATGTTTACAATAAATACTTTAAAAAATCAGTTGATCATTGCATTTATTTTCTACCATCTATACATCAGTGTTAAGTTATTGCTTTGCCAAATGATTTAGCGGTTCAATGGTTTATTTTACTGCTACTGCAGGACCTATTCATTCCGTACTTTGAAATGTATTGAGAAATTTTTAACAACTGCACTAAAATTATATGAATATTTTTATTATTGGGTAAATCAAAACATTTGTATTAAGTAAGCTTTTATGTTTATAGAGTTTGAACTTCAGTGAACTGTACAGTGTAGGCATTTTTGATTTTGTAGATGAAGGTCTGGAGTTCATTTCACACAGGCAAACTAAGTCTACCCTTTTTTCCCAAAAAATGACCAACAATCAAAAATATTCCAAATTGGAAAATTAATCCTCATTGCATCTTGGCTTGCTATAATACTGTAGCTTAGGTATTTTTTCCTGTTTTATTACATAGCGTTTCCTGTAGCTGTGAAACATAACATTGGTACAGGCTATTTTTACAATCCTGAATCATCACTCATTTGAAGAGTTGAAGGGTATGTAGTGTTCTATGAAAGGCTCTACTTTGCTAAATATATTACAACTTTCCTATGTATCGCCTATTGTCCTGGTCAGCCTGTTTTGAGTGGTTGAAGCACTTGCTAATCTAGAAACATATATTAAATACACTGACACTAAAGTTTGCGCATACAAATTATGCAAGATTCAGGACAAAGGGAAATGCTAGTTATAATTTCATCCATCCATATAAATGAACTACATAGCTGCAATTATGCAGGTAAGACTCGTAACAGATTATATAGAGGGCCAATATTTTAAATGCTGGTTTACTACACAAAGAAGGGAACAGTTTCAGTGAAATGAATACTAATTGGATAGATAGATATTCTTTTGTTGGTGGTGTAGATAAAGGTCCTTTGAAGTATACCCTCATCTATAAGACAAAAAGCACACCTCCATTTACCAAAAACATCTATGCAGGATCACCCATTGATTTGTCCTGGTCCAAATTTTTGCGTTTTGTGTTGGAGTTTTCATTGCTTTATCTGAAGTTTTATGTTACTGTTGCTGGGATAGCTTCTAAGTATTCTGTATTACGATATATAATGCGGGTTAGACGAGATGTATAATGGTGTTATCTTATATAGGTAGAAGTATATATTGATCTGGAATATGTTCAATATATACTTTTTTGAAATACAGAACTTTTTATTTTTAAAAAGCCATTGTTTACCTGGTTACCTGACGAAAGGATTTATTACACTTGATCTCATATTCCCAGTTTTTGCATGTAATTTCAATTTAAATGAAACTGAATGTCACTCTTATTTATTTATTTATCCTTTTTATAATTACAGAGAATATGAAAGAGGTGTCAACATGACGTCAAGATATGGGAAAACCTACAGCAGGAAGGGAGGCAATAGCAACTCAAAGTTTGATGAGGTGTTCTCTGGTAAACGAGCTAAAATAAGCACAAAATGGGGAGAAACCACCTTTAAGGCTCAGGTGGGCCAGAAGAGACCCAATTTGAAACCAGAACCAGTGGAGCCACCAAAGCGGCAGAAAGTTGAGGAAGAATTGTCAGAGGACCCTTTTGGGTTTGACAGTGATGATGAATCACTCCCTGTCTCATCGCGGAATATCACCCCATCAAAGGGCCAGCAATCTGTGGAGACTTTGAAATCAACAGATGCGGATAATGTAACCGCTCCGCTAGAGGCCAACAGTCAAATTAACCGGCCAAACAGTGGTGATGCTATTGTGTCTAGCAAGCTTGCATCCTTGGATGCTGCAGTCCAGCAGAGGAGTACAAACAGAAATTTGAATGTGTTTTCTGATGATGGAGGAATAAAAGTCCCTGGCACGAAATTGAACACTATAGGTAAGTCTGTGTACAGTATTTTTCTTTTATAAGCAGTTAATTCCTCTTAAATTAAGTGGAATTTTCCAACAAAGAACTTGCTCTAATATCCAGAAATATTATATTTTAAAGGGAAACTAAATAGTCGGATAAAATGATTTTAAGGAAAAAGAAATGTATATTCATTAGTAGATACTACTTATGACTAAATTTCTGTAGTTTAAAATATTTCATTGTATTAATAACTGGTTACTAATATGAAGAGTTATAGAACAAACAAGGAATAATTTGAGTCAATTTCCATTGGAACAGAGAAGGTTTAGAGGGTACCTCAAAATTCTGAAGAGTTAAGAGGCTCGTCAAAGATTTAAATTTTTGTTACTTGTGTGTGTTGCATTGGTTAGCGTTTCAAAATATGATCGCTTATGAGACCACTGCTTGGTAAATTGGTAACATGTGGCCATAAATTCAGAACTGGAAGAGTTGAGAAGAAACGTTTTCACTCAGAAGATTATAGGACTGTTGAATGGTGTTCCACAAGTGGTTATTGAGACTGACACCATAACAATTTTTGTGTGTTATAGTGTGCTATAGTGATTAGTGTTTCAAAATATGATGGCATATGAGACAGACGGACTAGTGTGAATACATTGGTTTGAGGCTGACCTGAGGGCAATCTACTATTTAAATGGATCTCTCCTGCGGATTATCATTATTATCATTATCTAGTGTTCATCACATCTAGGCTTGACTACTCAACTTGCTACTTGTTGGCCTTCCCAACTCTTCCCTTCTCAAGATGCAGATCATACAGAACTCTGCAGGTCGTGTCCTCTCCCGGCACCAGGATCTGTGACCCTTGTGCAGATATTTTAAAATAAATATTTTACTAAGTAGTATTTTGGACTTTTGTGAGAGAGCACCAAAATTTAGTCATATGGCACCTCCAGGAATGTAACAAAAGTAGAAATGCTGACCCCCCCCCCGCCCCCCCTTGTTCCCTTTCTAACGTGAGACAGTTGAAGGGTTAAGGTTATTTTCAGGGCCTAAGTGCCATCCTTGCTAATATTCTCTGAATTAGACCAGGAATTTTCCAGTCCTGAATGGTTGCTTCAGTTCTAAGTTTCAGCAATTAAACCATCAGTGGAGCTTTGGGGTGAAAGCAAATAAATATGACCTCTCGAGATTTGAAATATATTTCTTTTGTACCACAGGAATTAAAGTTCTACTAAATATTAAATTTAATTACCCCTTATTTGTTATTTTGGAGTAAAAGGTGGTAATGATCTTGGGTTACTTTTACCAAATGATTCCACGTTATTCTGGTGTATATGTTTGATATATGCTTTGGTAATGAAGTATAATGGTAGTTTATGTGAAAGTTTGGTTAAAGTTGGATAAAATATAAAAGAGGGAATTTGTTCCTTTGTGTTACCATTGTTTACATGGCACCTACATTACGGGCAGAGGCAATTCTGACTAGTAGAACTGTCCCACTAGCACTCAGCAAGATCCAAAGAATCAAAAGGGGTAGCGCAGAGGGTTTTAGGCTTTAGATATTTGTGAAGTCCCATAACGTAGTGGTTAGTGTGCTTGCCTTGCAAGCTAGAGGACCTGGGTTCGATTTCTAGGCGGGGCAAATTCTTAGTCAAGTTTCCTTACTCCACACACCTCGCAGTAAGTAGGAATCCGGTTGTTAGTTGGCTGACGGATCGCTTTCTAGATGTATTAATTCCTCTTCCTCTCTCCCCCCACTCCCCACCCCCCTCCACCCATAAATAATTGGTTACTCAATCCACAACTGTTTGTGAGACACTACTGTGTCCAATTGGCTGCTGCGTTTCACCCACAAAATACAGTCAATCCACTTTACAATATATTCTGTGAAACGCTTTGAGACGTCTCAATGACATGGTAAGGTGCTATATCAAATACAAGGATTATTGTTTGATATGCCAAAATCTTGGCTGTCTTGAAAGCCATTTATATGTCTTTTAGTTGTCCATTTATTTTTCTAGCTTGTCTGTAACCCATATAAGGGAAGATCTGACAGCAACAAAATCAAACAACCGAACTTACACAACTTTGTGAACATGTAACTTTGTGTGGACTTCTGTTATGGGATCCACCCTGTGGTGTGAATGGCAAATTCCAGAGCACCAAGACTGCAGACCCTTGTAGACATGTTTATACTTGACACAGTTTTGTAATATCATTGCATTAATTTGCAGTGAATTCTATCTGCCTTCTTCAAGTTTACCAATGGGTTTTCTTCAGTAGTATATTTAGTGAGCCTTTTGAAGTACTATGTGTTCAGTTGAGTGTTCATTGTGATGAAAGTATTACAGCTTGGTGGATGCTATTTCACTTTGGAATTACAATTAGGAGTTGAATTTAACAGGATGGTCCTAATGCTTTAGACCAACTGGCTTTTGTTTTTTGGATGATCCTGCTGTGAACATTACTGAATGGGGTAGAAGTAACTAAACATCCCAGTGCTAATTAAATAAAAAGTGGAGTGCATGATAGACAAAACATCCTGGTGCTAATTAAATAAGTGGTGGAATACATCATGGGCAAATGTGAAAATCTTGTGTCTTTTCTAAATGCCAGCAGATGTCAAAATTAATATACAGGTAAACTTGCATAAGTCTGATCTATATAATCACCTCAGTTGTATATTTACCCTAGTCTGTTCAATTTCTTAATTAAATCCATTTAAATTCTCAATCAGCTGTACAGCTTACTAGCTGGCAGTCTTTCCTGTTGCCAGATAGTGAGCCATGCCGCTGAATGAGAAAGAGGAAGAGGGAGAGTAATATGAGGGAGAGGGGAGAGTGATTGTGCAAGAAAGAGAGCATGAGGGGGAGAGAGAAACAGTAAAAGAGAGGGGGAAGTGAGGGCATTGCTTTGTGTTTCTCAAACAGGGCAACTGGCCCTCAGCAGCAAAAGGTTGATGAATCTCCCAGCTCCATGTGAAACAATTTTTGTAAGAGTTTATATTTTAATAAAACAGTTCTGTTTTGAAACCTTTTTGATTATACAATTCATTGTACAGTACTGTGCAGTACTGTATATGGAAAGAATGGGCTACCATAGTTTTAATATGCATGGGTTAATAAACATGGTACCGAACCATTGCTTTAAAGTCATCAGCCGGTACAGTAATTGTGTATTTCTTATGTGTTAGTCATATAAAATCCAACTTCTATATAATATTAGATAAGTTATATATGATATGACTTGTACAAGTTTGCCATAATTCATACTTGCATAAGTCATATTAAACGTTATCGTTCCAACTGATATGACTTATGTGAGTTTACCTGTATAATGTGAATCTGGATTGATGTAGACAAACACAATATTCAGCAACAGTTTTGCCATTAAAACAAGATACCCAATATTTTGAGGTTATAGGATTGAACCAAATAGTAGTTAAAAAATGTACCATTTTGGGGAGGCAGGGATGCAAATCACAATTTTAATCTAGTAGCATATTCATATTGTTGGTGCTGCAGAGGAACTTGAAACCATCCATGTGCAGCAGTTGGCCACAGAACTTCCTCCTTGTAAGATTGCCCCAGTGTTGAGCCAAGTGATCCATTGACTTGCATGAGTAACCTAAGGGATTATCCTGTTTCCAAATAAAAATAAATGGTCAGTTCCCCTGAATGCATTACCCCCGCTTCATTTACAATCATACTGCCAGTGACGGGGCTGACATTAAAGAGAAATATTAACCAAAATGTCCCTTCCACTATCTGGCAACAGTAGCAGACATTTTGTTTCTTGGCATAGGCGGGCAACATTTGGATCAGTGATAGTTATTTTTGACACTACTTGCCTATACTGACCTTGCAAATAATTGAGGGAAGATGTATATCAAGAAAACTGAAGTCATTTGCTATCTTTTGTAAAAAAATTGTTTTGCACGTGAATTCCCAGGGGCTGTTCGCAGAGCCATGGGTTGTAGATCCTCGTTCTGAGTTACGCCTTTAATTATTTTTATCTTCCGGAGATTGACAGCTGTGTTTTCTCCTGCTCCTACATGAGAAAAGGGTTTTTCTCTGTTAATCAATTAGTTCCATTTTATTTTGGGCTATTATCTGACTCCCATTTTTTCTCCCCTCTGTTTTGAAAGCATGAAGAGATACTGTGTAGTTTCACTAGAGTGATGATCACCAATAACATCTGTAGGGTGTGACACAGCAATCATCCTATTACATTTCTAAACATCTTTTAGACATTTGTAAGTATTACACATAAACTGCCCAAATAATAGATAAAATAATTTCTTACTATCTCCGTTTATACCTGACCTCCCAAGAAAAATGCAAAGTTGCATCGCTAATCTGATTAGTGATGGATATACCGTTTCTTTCACCTTTATTCTGAAGGTTTTATGTAGCAGCTGTCCCTGCTTGCCACCTGCCCTTGGCCCAAGAAGCCCTGTTGAGAAATGATGTGCAGATTCTTGAAGGGTGCCTGGAAGGTCAAACCTTTATTCACCACTTAGCTTTGGCTTTGAGTATGAATCTGATTCTGAGCAAGCTGCTGCCAGAACCATTTGCACCTGTGGGTTTGTGAGATTAAGTTTCTTGCACTTGAATCTGTTGTTTTGCTAGCTCATTTCAACACAAAGATTAAGAAATGTATCTCATTGGTCGATCCATCGCATCCAATATTTACATTTGCCCCTAAAATACAATAACTCCACTTTACAGTACATCCTGTAAAGCACTTTGAAACTTCTTCCCAATGTGAAAGGTGCTAAATCTAATGCAAAGATTATTATTATTATTTTCTGAGCATTGCATTGTGTCCAGGAAAATTGTCTTCAAGCTTCACTTAGGAAATTGAGATAATACTTTTTATCTGCCATGATAGTTTTATTGAAAGGAAATGCTTCTTGATAAAAGAAAAAATAGTCCTTGCATTTTATATAGATCTTTTGATGTCTTCTAGACTTTTCAAAGCACTTCACAGAATATACTGTAAAGTGAATTGACTGTATATTTGTGGGCGAAACGTGGCAGCCAGTTGCTCAGAGCATTGTCCCACAACCAGTCATGGATTGAAGTGACCAATTACCAATGATTGTGCTCAGAGCTTAAGCTTTCTAAATAGAACTAAAATAATTTATCCAACTATGAATTTTCCAACTTCAGAAGATCGCAGCAATGCAAATAGTGCCAGTTAGTTGTTGCTGCCATCACTTGTGTGGGCACTTCACGCCACCACAATGAACCCACTATCAGCTAGAAATGAAACCATTGTAAATTTAACTGAATTTCAGATCTACTTCAGCATTCCTAACTTTTTTTAAAATCTTTATTTGATTCCCATTTTGAAGGAAAATGTATACAGAAGGTATACAATGAAATATAACGTATTTCTTTGTATTCATTTATTTTCGACAAGTGGGAACAGATTTAAAAATTGTTTCTTGTTTACTATGTTGGCAAGATATCTGTGGAATTGTCGCCTGATGATACTGTTTGCTAATTTTTTTAATGCTGGATGTTATATGAAACACATATTGATGGTTGAGAATGCACAGGGTGCAGGATCAATGTACGACTTTTATTCTTAGCTGTTAACTGTGACATTTAGTTGCAATGACTAACTTCAAAGCTGGTTGTTGGGGATTTGCCTGTGTCATCTGCTGTGCAACTTGTGTGGTAGCATAGATATAGTGCACAAGATGACTGTACTGCATCATTCAGTAAACCATTAGCAGTATAGTGGGCCATGAGATTTATTTAATGTATTTAAATGTTAGTAGAAAAATTACATTATAGTCAACTTTTTTTGTGCTATTACTGATTATTTTAGTTATTTCCACCACCACTAGCAGATTTGTGAACAACTCTTATGTTAATGGTCTTACCAAACATTAGTTTGACAGAATCTATAATTGCATTGCTGGTCTAACGAATATATGCAAAGAAACTCATGTGAGCAGCAGTTTAGAAAATGTTTGGACCTGATTATTGAACTCCAGTTTGAATTACAAACATATTGGACACAGTGGGTAAAGTTTAAACAATTATGGTGAAGTTAATGAAATGTGGATCAATAGAACAAAAGTCAATGAGTCTTGGGCATTATGGATAAAAGTCCATTCTGCACTGATTAATGGAACAAATTGTATTGAAATATTTCTCTTAAGTATAATATGATTTTAGATTTATGGCATTTGTTTTTAAAAAAATTGTGTTACACGTGTATGTTTTGCAATCTTACCATTATAGATTTGTGAAATCATAGTATCTGTTGCCTTGATTATGCAATTTGTATATTACAGGCCATAAGGGTTTAACTATTCAATTTATATGCATACATGTTGTTTCATCTAAATTTGATTAAACATTTTTATTTTACAGAAGTGAAGCACCAAGATCCAATAAGAGAAGAGATTACGAAGAACAGTTTTTCTAAGAACAAGAATACAACTAATAATGAAAAGAAATCAAGTGTACCCATTGCTGTACTGTCTGAGTTTAAAACTGATATCAAGAATACGTGTGACAGTTGGGATGAGATCATGAAGAGCTCAGGGTCACTCTCTGATTCCCCTCAGGTGGAATTCAAGCCATGGGTTGGTGGATTGGGCCGTAAAACCTGTATTAAAGATGAGAGCTTGGATAGCGGAGAGGGCAAGATGGGAGTGGCTGCCCGGAATCTTGAAGAGAAAGAACCAAACAAAGAAGAGATTTATGGGAAGGGCAATGATCTCAGCTTAAAGGATGAGGATATAGAGAATGACTCTCAGCCCATTAGGTCGAACTGCAGGACATATTGTAGGTCTAATAAAGGAAAACAGTCACCAGGAAGTGCTGGAATGTCATCTGTAGATAAACTAGTTGATGGTCCTGCAAAATCCTCACAAACTGACCTCGTATTGGGTAAAGAAAGTCTGAAATCAGACACCAAATTCTCATCAGGTACACCAGGGAAGACTTCCACATCTCGGACTGCAAGAGACACCATCACATTACCCTCATCATACTTATCACCTTGCAACGTCACACTTCAGGACACCACAGACCGGAGCATGGACGAGTTCACCACAAGCCCAGCAGATCTGGGAGAGGCAGGCCGGCTGAGAAAAAAAACAGAAACTGCATCAGGCAAAACTACTGTTAGGTTCCGACCAACCATGTCCAAATCCAAGAAAGATGCAAAGCTGGAGTTTTTTGGTTTTGATGAACAGGATGAGCAGGAGGGGATTGAAGGTTCATTCGGAGCCAACTATAAAATCAAGTATTTTGGCTTTGATGATCTAAGTGAAAGCTCCGATGAGGATGAGGATTCTCATTCGGAGGGTAAACCCAAGAAAAAAGCTGGAAACCGAACGGGTGAAACTCAGTCAGTCTTCTCAAGTTCTGAATCAACTGAAGAGTCCCAAGGAAGCCAGACACTCTCTCAAAGCAGCTCTGCTTCAGGTAAGTGTTGAGTCAGGATCAATACCACAGGCTGGAACAGTTTGTTAAATATAGAAATCATCAATATACTTTCTACTTGCATGATTGGACCAACCTTGGGAAAGCTCAGTTGGAAACTTTCAACTTTTCAACCTAAACTAGGTTGCAGACAAGCAAATTGTGATTTTCTATTCACTTAAATCCAACCTCAGCCTGAATGCTTAACAAATTTAAAAACAGGACTGCTGGATAAGTCATACAGTTGTAGGTGAGCAGTTGCGGTTTTGGAAAGATTTGAAATGTGCCACGTGATGGAAAAGTCCAATAATGAAAGGTACATGACATAATTCTTGTTAGTACAGAATTTGGTTATTTAAAAATAGTGAGTTGAACAGTGTGAATGCTTACTTAGGTTGGCTCTTGAACCTTTCATCATGTTTTTCACAAATTCAAAAAAAAAAGTCCTCTCCGGAAATGTTAATGTTGTGAAATGAGTGTGTTCTGCATAATGCTGCTCTATCTGCTAGATTGCCTTTACTCTTGAGTACTTGATTGGGACAGCATGGCTGAATTAGCATTAGATTTGTTTTCATCTGAAAATATACAGAAATGGTGAAATTTATTATGAATACCAAAGTATCATAGAGCCATACATTAGAGTGCAGCATTATTGGAGGGGAGAGTCGATACTCTCTTCAGTAGCAGGGTGATGAGCTTTCACGTTCGAAATTCCCTTTTCTCTACATTCCTTCCTTATCGCTTAGTTCTAGTTTGTTGTCAAAGAGGGAAAATATAATTTTTCTTGTATTTAATTCAGACTTTTTTTGCTTTTTTGTTTATAGCATTGTAACAATAATATTTGTTTTGAATATACATAACAAGTTTGATTTTAATATGGTGAGGATACAAGGAGAAGGAAACGTACTGAGTTGGTAATTTACTTCATGGCTGTTTGTGGGACTTTGCTGTGTGCAAATTGGCTGCTACTGTCTGCAAATGCACAGTCACCACATTTTACAGAAAAAATCTATGAAGGGCTTTGAGAGATTTTGATGTAATAAGAAGCTATGTTGAGTATAATTTTTTTTCTAGCTTTGAGAGAATGTTAGCAGTGACCATTATATTTAAAAGTTAAAGCAGGATCCATAATGGCTTTTCAAAGGTAGTTAGGCAAATATCAGCAAAGGAAAAATAAGAAAGAATATGGTGAAAAAACAGGGAGTGGGGTGAAACAGATGGCTATTGCAGAGAACAGACACAATAGATTGAATATCTGCCTTCTGTTTTGAAAAATTATATGATTCTAAGGAAATGCTAAATGTAACATCTTGTATTGTCAGTGTTGGGCATTTGTAACTGATATTTGGGCAGGTTATTTATTTTATAATACTGAGGTTAGCTAATTACTGGGCTTTTTAACTTTTGCAAATGTTGTGCTCGTCTTGGTGAGGAATGTTTGTTCCAGGAAGTGGAACACTGCTCCATTTCAGGTATTCATTGTTATCATTGAGCTTGCCCAAGTTAAATAAAACACAGATGCAAGGTAAAACTTCCTCCTGTTTCTCTGATGGTGTACCTTATCAGTGGGATATTTTTCTATTTCTAGCACCATCCAACCTGTGGTCTCACTGCTGCTTAATTAAGGAAGATTTGTTGCTGAGAGCCCATACCCACAAGATTAGGTGCCTTGACTGAATTCATACACGATCTTTGCAAATTATAGATATTCATTCCATTCGTCTGGATTGGATTTTAATCTAGGCTCCACAGGTGAAAGACTAATTGGATGTTTTAAACGAAAACACTTCTATTTTAAGATTCCAGATCATTTCTGAGGATGCTATAAAATGGGAGAGAATTTTTTTTTGTTTCAAATGTGTATGATTTATTTTAGGCACGCCCTGCCTACTGAATGTGGCCCAATATTAGAAGTGCTATGTAGACAAGTTACATTAATGCTACAAAAGTGTTAAAGGAAACCATTAACCGGGCTACTGTGGAACAATTTTATTTTGAATGCTTTTAAAAATATCTTTGTGGTAAACGATTCTTCCTCTTGGTTTGTCATATTATAGGAGATTAAAAGTCTGGAGAAGCAATGTCGATTTGCATTGATTGAAACACACTTGTCTTTGGTTTTGGTTGCTTTGCCATAAAAGGACCAAAAAGGCCCCATGCAGTTTCTTTATTTTACTTGTGTTGTAATCTTGGGATCTGAGAGATTGGACCAAGGTGGCTGGGTTATAAGGGCATTGCCCTAAATATGTGTGTTTAGGGGGATTAGTTCACTACACTAGTGCATATTTATTCAGGCTATCAAGGCTGTGAAATAGATGTATGCATGCATTTAGGATGAAAATATGATGATAATGCGATGCCTAAAGTGTCTCACTTGAAGACCCGTGGGGGGTAACTGTGGGACCTTCTAGGCCTGTGCAGCTCAGTTTGACACTGGATAATGAGTTTTCAACTGAGTCATTGGGGGAATCAGTATCTCCTTAAACATTTTATACTCATTGCAATGCAAGGGTGAGCAGTTAAAACTCATTCTTGTTAGGATTTCCAACATTAGATTGTATTTGAAAAATTGTAAAAATGGTAAATAGAATTCTATGTGATCTTGATTATGTATTGATAGTTGTGGCACTCACTATGTGTACTTTTCAGATGTGCTGGAGTTTAGCGAAGAGTCTTATCCTACGCTTCCCGATGTTGGTAGGAAACAAGTAAACAAACAGGAAAAAGCCAAGGAGAATACCAGAAAAATCTTTCATGGACCTAAACGGGTAAGAATTACAGACTGCTCCAGTATGTAGATAATCCTTGTTGTGAAGTTGTGGCTTGAGATAATTCACTTTGCCATGTTGAATTACCGAGATTGGATTTCTGAATAGACCTCTATCTGTAAACAATAACAACAAGATTACATTTGTTTAGCGCCTTTCACGTCGGGAGGACGTCCCAAGGCGCTGGACAGAGTACAACGTTTAAACTGGTGTGTTGTCACATCAAGGTACTACCAAAATTGTAAATTTAGATTTTTAGTACAAATTCAAACTGTTGCCTTCAATCTTGGAGTTCTCCTCACACAGCAAGAAGAACTGTCACATGCCATCAGTAGGAAAATAGTTTGAGAATGATCGTTTGGAGAATACCTCAATATGAACAGTAATGGCATTTAAATTAATTGGACCGGTTTTGCACTTTGAAACTTCAATCTTATTTTCATTGAGGCTTAGAAGGAACTTGAAATAGCAGATTATTAAGAAAATTAGACGACATCCATTTGGGGTAGGAACACAGAGATGGCTGAGGGGAGACTTGAGAGAGGACTTTAACATTGTCTGCTTTTGGTAGAGTAGATAGGGGGAAATTGTTTCCACTTTAACTTTGATGAGTCAGAAGGCATTGATTTAAGATAATTACCAAAAGAGCAAAAGGAGAACATTAAGAGGAATTTGTTGGGATGCTTTTCTAGAAGCAGTGATTGAGATGGCACCCATATTGTTTTTCAAGAGGTGAACAAAATAGATGCCAAAAAGGAGAAATTTGCAGGGTATTTGTGGAGTCCTATAGCCCAGTGGCTGGAGCCCTTGCCTCGCAAGCAAGAGACCTGGGCAGGCCGAAATGTTGGCCAAGTTTCCTTACTCCACATGCCTTTGTTTACCTAGCAGTGAGTTGGAATCTGGTTGTCAGTCAATTGGCGGATCGCTTTGTCCTTCAAAAAAAATAATAAATTGGTCACTTCAGTATACAACTGTTTGTGGGACACAGCTGTGCGCAATTGGCTGCCACGTTTTGCCCACAAAATATAGTCAATTCACTTTATATTATATTCTGTGAAGTGATTTGAGACATCTCAAAGACATGATAAGGCGCTATATCAAATGCAAGTATTATAATAAAAAGCAAGTAAATGGGACTAAATGATTGATTTTTCAAAGTGCTAGTACATGATCAGCTGAATAGCTGCCTTCTGTACTGTGAGGTGTGTGGGCTGCAGCTATACACCTGAAAAAAAATAACTTAAAAGAATTGGCAAACTTTTGAAACTCTTATTTATAATCTTGTATGTGCATTGGTGAAATGAAAGGGACCAGTGGAACATGAAGAAAACAATCCAGGAGACGTGTTGTTCCATGTTCACCAAATCTTAAATTTAGGTTTTCCACATCACTGATTTCTTCACAGTATATTACTAGCGAAAATTGCTTATCTGCTCCTGCCAAGTCAAAAATCTTTTATTGTGTACATTTATACACGACCTTTATCGACGGGTAAGATTATTAAAAAGTCAAGGAGTTATGGAGACTTTAGCTTGAAGTTGGCAAAGGGCCATTCAGTTAATGACTGGGTCTGGTTTGCAGTAATTGGCTCCATTTAGTTGGGAGTGAACAGTGTCCTTTTTGGTCTGAGATGCTAGTAAAGTTCATAACCAACTTATGTGCACTTTCCATTATGCATTTTTTTAAAAAACAAATCTGATGTCATTTGAATTTCTCTTTGCCAACTTCAAATGTAAGTGTCCATTGGTTGCACGTGAACTGAAAAGGAATTCTGCCTTATTTGCTGATTGAAATGTCTTATTACGTTTGGAAGAGAACTCTCAACGCATGAGTATTATGGCTAAAAGCTCCATCATGCATAGTAAGAGGTGAAGAGTGAGAATCAGGATCTTGAGAATCAGAAGGGCAGAGGGTGTGTGCAGGAGAATTGAGGTGGAAGAGATTGCATAGATATGGAGGAGGTGAAATAATTAAAATGCTAGAACAAAGATGTTAATGTTGATCTGACCAGTACAGAGAACCATTGGAGTGAAATTATTTTAGTGAAAATATTGTGCTGAGTCTGTGACAAAAGAGAAAAATATGACAGTTTACATTTGTGAGATCTTACGGAGGCTGGAGAGAAGAGTACAAAATAAAATTGGAAAATCTTTGACGTGCAATAAGCAGGAATTGGGAGTTTAGGTGAGGTAAAGGCATAACAAGCAATATTCTAGACATGAAAGAATGGAACAATGGAGTTTGAAGTACAAGTGAGTGTGAAATGGAATCCCAAGGTTGTGCATGGACTGAGTGGGCTTCCATGATAATGATAATAATAATCCTTGCATTTGATATAGTGCTTTTCACGTCTTCTGGACGTCCCAAAGCGCTTCACAGAATATACTATAAAGTGAATTGACTGTATATCTGTGGGCGAATACGACAGCCAATTGCGCATAGCAATGTCCCACAAACAGTCATAGATTGAAAATGACCAATTTATTATTTTTTTCTTGGAGGGATTATTATTAGGCGTGTGGAGTAAGGAAACTTGTCCAAGGTTTCGCCCTGTTTGGAATTGAACTCCGGCCTCTCGCTTGCAAAGACCTGAAACCACATTATCAAATGCATATATATTATTTTGTTATAAGTTAAATATTTGCTATGGTTGTATTTCAGATAATACTAAAACAGAGCTGAACTGTGTAGACCAGGAAAGTTCCAGGTTTAGACCCCATTCTGTACTGAGGTTGCAATGGATGTGCTTTTTTTGGCTTATTGTCCTTGGACTGATGAAGTAAAAATCTCCAGGCCCACGCACAGTAATCAGTGAACTTTCATGTTAAATATGCATGTATGAATATCCAGTGAGAACAGGATTCGTCTTTAGTGTGACAGCTTCTGAGATCTCAAACGTCTACCTTGACCCACAAGTAAAAAATGGCCTCTTGGGTTATGTTCCTTCTATAACAGTTAATTTTAGCAGTTTGGAAAAATCCAATGTTTTGAAGTTTATTGTGCTAATTTTGCACATTTTACTCCTCCAATAAAACATTTCTTTGTTTCCCTTGTATGTTTCACTTGACCTGCTACTCCCATAAATTCCATTGTATAATTATGAAATACCTATGGTGATTTAATACAAATTTGCTGTGCTATAAGGAATTTCATCATTGGATTAATACTATATAAACAGTCACTTTACATGTAAGTTTGTTTTGCCCTTCCTGTACAAATGTCAGTCTAGCTTTATTTTTCTCTTTGATACCAGAACACATAATAGTCAAATTATTTGGCTGCAAACCATAATTTGTACTAAAGGTGGGAGAACATAATTATTATTATTTGTGACTAAAATGGACCTATGTATTTGATCTTATGTGGATTGGCCTAGGGTGTCACTGTGTCTTTAAAACTGTTATCAACTCCTGTTTTGTGTTGAGGTTCAGCTTAAATGCATCATTCTGTCCCACCAGCAGGCCCTGACAGCATGACAAATGGACATGTCAGTACTGAACCTTGGTTCCATGCGACAGGGTAAAACGTGTTGCATTTTCTGTCAATTACCATTGGTGCCTTGAGAAAATATCTGGCCTTGTCACAACTGATAGTGTCAGCTGAAGTTTGGAAGCAAAACACAAAAGCTAGCATGCTATTGATCTCAGCAAGATAGCAGGACAATGATCTAATTTCTGAAAGGCACATTCATTTTACAGCAGTGGGGCTATGCAAAGGTGCCATTTCACCTTTAGGATATTGGGGCATTTTATTTGTCTGATGGTGTACCACAATAGATCCACCACAGGCATGGTACAGTAGTATGATGCCATACTACTGAGGTGACCAAACAAGCTGGATATTTAAATTATATTTTATTCCGAAAATTGACCAAAAAAACCCAAAAAGTGATGGAGACCTAAGGTAAACTATACACCCTCTCAACAACAAAATTACACTTGTTAGTGCCTTTCACATCGGGAGGATGTCCCAAGGCGCTGGACATTCAGGGATTTGGACCTAAGCTGGGGGTCAGGATAGGGGAGGCTAGAGGACGGTGGTCGAAGAGGATGGTTTTGAGATGCGCCTTGAAGGAGGCAAGGGAGGGAGTGAGGCGAAGGGAATGTGGGATGGAGTTCCAGAGGGTGGAGACAGAAAGGCTGAAGGCCCGGCCACCGATAGTGGGGCGGGCCGGCCGGAGGACATGGAGCAGGCCAGAGCTTTCTGAGTGGAGGTAGCAGATAGGTTGGTGTGGGGTCAGCAGGTCGCAGAGATGGGGCCATGGAGGCCCTTAAAGGTGAGGATGAGATTTTGAACTCTATCCTCTGGGGGTTAGGGAGCCAGTGGAGCCGGGTGAGGGTGGGGGTGATGGAGTCATGGAGCTTGGTGTGGGAGAGGACACGAGCTGCAGAGTTCAGGATGATCTGCAGCTTGTGGAGGGAAGAGTTGGGAAGGCTGATAAGCAGGGAGTTGCCGTAGTCGAGTCTAGGTATGATGTATGCGTGGATGAGGGTTTGGGCGGCCTGAGGAGTGAGGCAGTGGCGCAACCGGGCGATGTTGCGGAGGTGGGGGAAGGCGAAGCAGGTCATAGCGTGGATGTGGGGCAGAAATGACAGTTGAGGATCAAACAAGATGCCAGGGTTCCAGACTGGCTCAGTGAGGTGAAGTTTGCATCCTTGAATGGCGATACTGTCAGTGCCTGAGGTGTGGAGGCACTGACAGGAACCAATCAGGAGGGCCTTGGTTTTGTTAACGTTCCACTGTAGAAAGTCAGCTCTCATCTAGGATTTGATGTCTGATAGACATTCTGTCAGGATAGCAGTGGTTCTGGAGTCGAGGGTGGAGACAGAGAGAGGGAGAGTTGGTGTCATCCGCATGCATACGTGTTGAAGTTGACCCCATGTCTACAGATGATGCCACCAAGAGGGAGCGTGTAGATACTGAAGAGGAGAGGACAAGGACAGAGCCCTGAGGAACGCTTCACAAGACAGTGTGGGGGCTAGAGGAAAAGCCGTTTGTGGAGATGAAGTGGAGATGGTGTGAGAGCTCTGAATAACTGGTCCTGAGATTCCTTGAAGGAAAGTCGTAGACTGGATGGCAGAGTAGATTAATCGTATCTTGTACTTGAATCCATTCAGATTGGAGATATTAATAAAGTGTCCTCTCTTTGTCCTATGTTACACTTTTTATGTGAAATGAGTTTAGGCAGTTTCAATCTAGTTTCTGTGAAGATGAGGAAATTGGCTCTAAATTGACAATCTCACTTAGGCCCTTTGGGGGATAGAAACATTCATATTGGTGCTTTCCTGCGATTGGGAATAAGATCTATTAAATAGAATAAAGGGAATTTATGGAATCTGCCCTGGGTTGTTACAGACTTGGCACTGTCTCTTCAAAAGTAGAGCACAGGTGTTCTCAATATTGACATAGCTCACCTTAATAAATGCAAATCAAAAAGAGAAAATAAATGGATTTTTTTAAACCTGCATTCAGTGTCTCTTCCAGCTCTTTCTGCACCCAGCCTTTTTATCCCAATGTGTTGTACAGTGGTACAGTTGGCATCACAGCATGATAGTATGCAAATACAAAGCAGATACAAGTTTCTTAGTAGTTTTGTTGTTAAGTGTCTTATGAAAGGAAAGCAGGAGATCACCAGCTTGTGTGTGCATGCTACAATAGTTGACATGCATCTGTTCAGAAGAGTCTGTCTTTAGGAGAAACTGTTGTAATATGTAGTGCATGATGTTTGTATTATTGCTCCTCAGTTGTACAGACCTCTGATATTCTACTGTTGAGTAGTCTGCTGACCTATTACAATTGGGAGTTTTCTACAATATTGTCTTCTACAGATGTGCTAGTGCAAAATTGCGTGGTGCAAACTCAAAAAACAATCCTTCAAATTACATTGCTAATGCAAGGAAAACAATATTGTTTAGGTAGAATAAATGGCTTACTTAGCATGCTTGAAATTTTGAAATCCTGACCATCAGCTGTTCATATAGAGGAAGGTCTTCTAACATCTGATATTGCGTAGCTGAATCATCCAGGTATTTAAATTATGAGCTGTTCTGAAACTGGAAAACTGAATTAGGAGACGGTTGTTCTAAACTAGATACTACCTTGAATTCTTGTTGAATTAGACAAATGGTATGATGAAAATAAGTGCATAATGTTCATTCTGATTGTAGATGGATGTTTCAGCATCTCTCTTCTGAGCACGTATTGTAAAAGAATTCTTACGATTATCCTTACAATTTGTAGTCTTAATGTATCCTACCTTCATATGAAATTATTTGAATATAATTGCCCCAACTCTGTCGAAACCTGTTATTTTGACTCAACTTCTCACAATCAAGCAGTTTAGCTGACTCAGCTTTTAAGCTTCATCAGTGATCAGCTTCAGATCACTTGGGGGAAACAATTGTTTTCGGTCAAAACTAATGACTTAATTCAACATTCTCCACAGGTATGCCAGGTATTATGGCAGGGCAGAGGGAAATTGCATAGTGATGACCTTTTCATTGCACTTGCCATTGTTTTAAAGTTTTCATACTTTTTAATGTCAGCAGTTCCTATTCTTCTGGAAAATACTACTGCATAAATATTGAACCCTTATTTTGGCTTGCTCTGTTTCTTGAGATTCATATTTTTACAATGAATTCTGTGAAATGTACCTCAGGTTGCATAAATCATCTCTACAACTTTTCTTCTGCAAAGTTTTTCCGAGTCAATTCTATCAAGTTGCATTCTTTATAGCATATAGCAGATGTTTGATTCTGCGCTTAGGAGATGGAAGTTTCTTTTCATCACTGCCGTTTCAAATATTGCATGGAGTGCTGTAGAGCCTTCATAATTTCTGATGGGCATGACTGTTATTTAAGTTGCGTTTTTCTGAATCATGAAACAATCAGCAGTGTGCGCATACCTATCTCTACGTAGATAGTTCTTTCTTGAAACTGTCCACGAGACCTAAAGCATCATTGGGATGGGAAGCTACATGAAAATCTACTCGCCTTCACTGGACAAAAGCCAACTTGTGTTACTCGTGTAGGGCTGTGGACAAATTGTCTTGGAGAGTAAATTATCTTGACTTTCTCATGGAAATGGATATTGTTCATGTTTTACTTGATCTCCAGTACAGTTGCTCAAAGCAGAGACACAAATGTGATTCCATTATCCTACCTTGTTCTCACAAACCACAATTTTCAGAAATCCCCGCGAATAGCGTGGTAATTCACTGATTTTGCGATCTTTTATAAACCATCTTCTGCCCCAGATTTTGGGGTAAGTTCTTCAATTCTTCTCTTTAACAACTTGGTGTTTATCAGTACTGTTGCCCCAAGAAGAGGGATCAACTAATAGGCCTTAAAACCCAAAATGAGAGATGGTCACTTCAAATTTCTCTTCCAAATCTAGTTATTGCTTTAATTCCAAGTAACACAAGTTCACACTCCTTTTTTCCTTGTTTGGTTCTTGCCTTTAAAACCAATCTCTTAGACCATGCTTTCGTTCAACATCCTTAAATCTCTTTTTTCCTGCTTGCTACTTCTTATTAATTAATTTAGCTTTGGTTAAGGTCTTTGAGATGTACATCCTACGTGGAACATGCCATACAGTTGCAAATTTGTGTTACAATTGCAGCCTTCTTTGGGGTTTTCCCTGATATTCTTATCATCTGAGTGTACTGAAGGAGCATCCATTAATATCCCACTTTGAAAAAGGGATCTGACAACTGAACTCATTTTCTTTCCTCCCCCTGCCCCCATAAACAAAAACTGCACTCATCTATAGTTGAGATTTTCACTTGGTTCTACATAAAATTTGAACTTGTATGGCACTCTGCCTTTAGGTTTCAAGAGATCTCAGCCCTATCACACGTGACGTGCTGACTGGGTGATTTCCATCTGAAGTTGTTCTTCAGACTAGCTTCTTGGCTATGTTTAAAGGAGGCATTGCATCTTTTATCGTTCTCCTCACTAGAATAGCAAAACTGTTGCATTGGTTCTAGGAGGGGCGTAGCATATTAAACTGAACATGTCATATCTTTTAATACAGTCTTATTTATTCGATGTCAACTGTCCCAAAGAAAACTTGAGACTAAACAGCCTCATATAGTTGGATAGTAGAATGCATTTTAAACGACAGATTAACCGTTGAAACATTTTCTTTGAAAGTTTAAGCTAATTCATGCTCTGCATTTTGAACTACCTTGGTCAACCTTCTTTGAAAATATTTGTTAAAGTTGCAATGTGAAGTAAGCTGCTAATTTTCATCAAACATTATTGTTTAGATCTGGCAAAGATGTCAGTTGTTATGTTTGGCACAACTAAGATCTCCACTCTGTTGCTGCAACCCCCGATCTTCTCTTGTTATTTGGTGTTGGTACTTAGTTGATCTCCAGCAGTGTGAATAGTTGCTGAACTAGTGACGAGAGAAATTGATCTATTAGATTTTTTGCTCCATGAGGGGCAGCACCTTCCCACGTTATGCTCCCATTCTCTGTCTGCATTGAGTTCATATGATTTTTCTACTTTGGGGCTGTTGGAGTGAGAATTAATTACTGATCCTTAAATAGGGTAATTCCTAAATACATGGAGCAGGAAAAATCACGTCGTGATGTCCTGGCATCACAAGATATTAAGAGGGCATCACTATGTGATTTTTGTTTTTCCCCGGCAGAATATCTACCGGTGCAGGATAATCAACGATGTGGGAAGGATTCCGACACAGAAAGAACAAAGAAGATCCTACAAGGTAGTTAATCTCTCTTTTTCAGGCTTGGGTGCCTCACAATCAGCATCCAAAGCTCCAAAGGGTCCTGATCTGCATTGCTTCCTGATACTTATCTGCATTGCTTCCCAAGATTGATCTGCATTGCTTCCCAAGATTGATCTGCATTGCTTCCCAATACTGATCTGCATTGCTTCCCAATACTGATCTGCATTGCTTCCCAAGACTGATCGCATTGCTTCTGTTGCTCACTGATGGTGTCTGAGCAGCTCTGGTGATTTTTGAAATCTGAAATGGCAGGCTTGCTTAAAGGAGTATTTGGCTTAAGCTTCAAGGTGGGAATCTTCCAGTTTGTGTGAAGCTTATTTACATTTGATAAGGGCCAAAGAGAGAGAGAAGAAATGTGGGACTTAATGTTGAAAAGTTTTTTTTCCCCCAATCCAACTTTTAAAATTGGATTCAGTGTCTTGTGTGTATATTGAATGATTATTCTGTTGCATTGGAATTTGGTTTTGTACTGTTCATATACTTAACTCGCTAAAATCACAAGTATAACTACCAGCTTCTCTGTGACTTCAGTTTAGCTGGAGACTAAAAGCAAAAAATGTGCTATGACATGGCTTTGACAGTCTTTATTTTAACAAAACTTGCATACAATAGTCAGACTTTAGATGTTAATTATCAGCTATGTTTCTGATGCAAGCAGAAACTTGCCACCGTCCTTAAGAGTATCCAAGCCAGATTGAGAGTTCCACAAACCTATGGATGGAAATTTCCCTTGTCTGGAATGGTGTGAGCACTTTGTCCCTGGAAAGACATACCTGTATAATTAATTCCAGAAAGTTTTAGGCATAGACTGGCAAGACTTGAGGCTTGGGGACCTCAGAGTGTGTGTTGGGATACTTCCCATTGGGAACATTATCTGGCAAGCTTCTCGCTGCTTGTTCACCTAGGACCACTCTATCCATTAGGGCTTTGGCTTGCAGGACTAAAAGGAACTAATTGGGAAGAATCCATGCTACCAGTGACTGATCTATTCCTCCAAGTCTTCAACAACAGGGGTAGGCGGGTCTGTTATCAACTGTGCCTCGGAGTACTTTAGATCCACCGGACTACTGAGACCACCTCAAAGATCGACTCTATTCTGATATTCCATTGCTAGACATATTACCTTGGAGCTAAATCAGTCCTAAGGAAACTCTGCTTCCTTCCAGCTCAAGGAATATCGTCACTGGTTAGTCGTTAGACAATTGAAAAACTTAGGTTTAGCCCTGACGAGGTGGATACATGTTTCAGAACTTTCGTATGAGCAGCCTAACTCAGCAGAAATGTGTGTGAGTACTACCACCAGTGTCCTGCCCAAAGCTTGGACACATAATCCTACCTGATTAACCAATGGTTCCAATAGTTTGAAGTGTGGATTTTAGCATCAACTGCTTATCTCTCTGCACACCAATCAAGGTAAATATACCAAGCCCTTGATATATGAGCATGCATTCAAAAACTATGTTGAATTTTCTAAAAGATACTGGATGGGAAAGGATGTTTCGAGTTGAGTATCTTCATTTGAATGATCTGATCATTAGTTTATTCAACTACAAAGATATTTACAACTTTGTCACCTGATGCAAATGGTTTGCGGTGACAGATTTATGGATGGGAATTTTCATTTTAATTTCCCCAACAGAATAATTACCAATCAGTGTTTTTGTCAAATGATCAAGTACTATAATGACTCAATCTTTGAAGCATTTAGTTTTAAAATCTAGATTCCAAAATATTCCTGGAAATTTTGTGTAGCAAAGCTTTGAAAATTGCTTGCATTCTGCTATTTACCATTAAATTGGAGCTCTACAGCCAGATATGTTGCTTAATGTTACTATTTGACACAGCACTAGCATCAGTAATCCTTCCTGACTAAGTAGCTGCCAGGGACATTAACAATGCAGTATCCTTATGCGCCACATTCTCTGATGAGGTACCTGCAATACCAGCTTTGACACTGAGATGAGATTCTCTGATTCTCCCAAATCTATTACCCTTTGAAGTATGTTTGATACCATTACAGAAATGTTTATAGGCAGCAGTTCAAGTGGAGAATCTTGAAATAGTAGCTGTTTAAAGGATTCAAAAATTTTATTACTGTACAGTATATTATTGCAGGTACCATTGTTAATCAGCAAAAATGATTGAGAATTTGATTTTCTTCCAACAAAAATGTCCAGCCAATTAGAAGACAGTACTAAGTAACAAAATTGGAAAATTGTCTAAGCATACTCCCTGGGGGTGGCAGGAGGGGAAATTGAAGGTGTTTTGAAACTGTACTAGATAGTATTGTCTATTATCAACCTGAGTCAATGAGTTAGTTTGGAGGTAGTTTCTTTAAGGTGCACATTGATTTGAATTTCCATTATAATAAAAACAATTATTGTTTTCCTTTGATCATGATGCCTCGTGTCTTAGACCTTTTCTGGTTATGAATTTGGAATTCAGTGCAATGCAAAGTCTCATTTGATTGAGTAACAGGGGAGGGCATAAGGTACAAATGGTGGCTTCTATCCAATGCCAAATCTATAAATGCAAATCAAAGAATAAGGAAAAATATGCGTAAATTGTGCTTTTTAAACTATCTCGCAATACTGTCTAGGTGAGTGTGTCTGGTCTTCTTTACCATATACAAAACAAATCTGCTTTGAATTTACATATCTTCATATCTTGACAGTATTAAGTAAACAACCTTTAGATAGATCTTCTAGTGTAATTATTCCTGTAATGCTTGTTTTTAGTGTTAACATGAATATATATTACAACTTTTGATATTGATTCTCATTGAGAACAATTATGTGATGCATTTGTTTTTCTCAAGGGGAATTTGTAAAATACTGGAGTGAAATGAATTTCATATATAGTAAAACTCGCATAAGTCTTATCTTTATAAATTGTATAATCACCTAAGTCGGTTAGGGACCGAACATGGAGTAGGTCGGTCAGCTGAGTATCGAACCTGATGCCTAGGTGGCGGACAGGTTCAGTATATCTGAGGGATAGGCTAGGGAGGATAAGGAGGGTGAGAAGACATTGAAGGGAGCAAGCAGTATGACTTCTGTCTTGTTGACATTCAGCTGCTGAAATTTGGTGCTCATTGAGGCTTTATGTCTGACAAGCAAGCAAGCAGAACTTCAGTAGACCTGGGTACCAACTGGAGGAGGAAAAGTAAAATTGTGTGTGGAAGTTGACCCCATGTCTTAGGATATACCACATGTGCGGAAGAACCATTTGCAGAGACAAATTGCTGGCGGTGGTGGTTGAGGATGGCATGCAAACGTGGACTCGTGCATAAAAGCTTGTGTGATTGACCTAAAAAAGTATTTGTTTTAAATTTTTTGTGCAGTCTCCTACTAAAGCTGTATATAATGCCAGACACTGGAATCAGCCTGAACCAGAAGAGCTTCCACCAGCACCACCATTGTCACACACTGCACCAGGGAGTGCAATAAGTAAACAGCCACTGTCACAGTCTCGGACAGCACAGGTGAGTACCTTAACTAATACTTATTCTCAGGCAATGTCATTCAGTCAATAAATGAAATTGTCACTTATAAAACTGCACAAATGATTGAATAATCTGAACAATAATTGTCACAGTGAATGCCAGAACTGAATTGCTGCTATCACTATTTTGTAGTACTAATGAGCTTCAGAATTCAACGGTGTTGTTATTGCCTCTCATTGTTCTGGTGAATGTTATTGCATACTGTAAGTTTTCACAAGTATAATGTTCAGATTTAAGTGCACTAAATTTGTGTTGCTAGGTCCACCTTTTATCATGATACTTTCTACTTTAATCTTTTAAACAATAAATTATTGACAGTTAATATGGCACTAATGATGGATGTAATGGCTGAATTTTGTCATAACCGTATCTTAAATTTGTACATGTAATCAAAACTTGTAGAAAATTGTAAGTGCTCTCTTAAAAAAAATTCCATTTGACTTGCATATTCTGCGGTCCTTGATTGTCTTTTCCATTGTATTAAAAGGCCAATGTTGCCTTAAAGGAGACGGATCAGAAAGATGAAGGTGTCTTCAAAGCTCCTCCACCTCCACCACGTGTAATCAAGACAGTGACAATACCAACCCAACCATACCAGGACATCGTAACTGCACTGAAATGTAGGAAGGAGGACAAAGAGGTATCAAACTTAAAACACNTTTTTTTACGCATTTAATACTAAAAGCAGCATTCCGTGTTCACTTCGTGTAGATGAAAGATACTTCCATTTGAGGAATGAACATCCTCAAAAGGTTGATACATTTGATGCATCTGCTGAAATTGTTTGGAAGAATGAAATTCCAAGTTGCAACCAGTTAAGCTGCAAATTTTACAAGTGACATATGTGACAAATGTAATTCTTCCTGAATAATTCTGCCCACTTATTATAGAGAAGTAATTTTTAACAGTGATACTATTTTTATACTCTGCAGTTTAATGTATAAATTTACCTCACCGGGTTCTGCACTTTGGCATCTCTGGAATAGAACTATTGTTTTGCAATTTTAGCTCCTATATATTGCTACAATAATTTATTTTTTGTTTCCTCAGTTATACACTGTGGTTCAGCATGTGAAGCACTTCAATGATGTTGTGGAATTTGGAGAAAACCAAGAGTTTACAGATGATATTGAGTATTTACTCAGTGGACTGAAGAGCACTCAGCCTCTCAACACGCGCTGCCTTAGGTACATTTCGATTTGGATGTACATTTTATGCAATATTTTGATATACTGTGATTGTATACATAACCAATTTATATCTTGATTGGGCATTGTGTTCTTTCATTTCCTTACACAAGTGGTTTCTTCTTTCTCCACACATTTGGGAACACTTTGTGATGATGTGCTGAAGGACGGAAGAGACTGTTGACTTAACATGTGAAAGAAAATTGCTAAGAATGGCAGAATGGCAGTTTTATTTACATAAAACATTTTATTGTAAAAAACAAATGAAATTTAAAATTCACCATCTATATTCTGCAAGAGAATTCATCATCGATTATTTACATTTATATAGTGTGTTTCACATTGGGAGGACATGTAACAGGGCTTTTGACAAATTTGTTGACCCTCCTGAGCCATTTGCTAAACAATGCATTGTTAGAATTGCTTTAATGGGATCACATAATGGTTTGTAAATGTTCAGAAGTGTTTAGTCCATGAGAACAATACAGCAAGTATGCAAAGCTTCCTTGAAAAACCCCATCAAACTTGACTTATTTGTTTTACAAATGGTTGAGAATTTGCTGTGCAAAACACAAGATCTAAATATTCAAGACTGTGGCTAAATTATGCTCAGAACAGTTTCAGCTGATGTACTCTACAGAACAATGCAGCTGAATCCAGCAAGCACATACGTTTTAGTACCCTGCCCTTCAGAGAAGTGAGTAAGTTTAAGTGCAATGCTATAAAAACAGTTTGTGTTTTTGCTATGTCCCACAGCCTACTGTTGCATTATTCACAAAGCTGTTTAACTTGGTATCTACTGACAGTGGATTGAGAGCCTGGGAAGCATGTATAGATGGAGAATTATTCCAACAGAAATATTTCAGCACTATAAACTGTATGATTGTGGCCCCTTTAAATACATAAAAATGTCCTTGCAGACCCATTGCTTGCCATTTTATTTTCGGTACCAGCTGCGCACCTTACTTGCCATAAAATACAATTGTGTTCCTGCTGATAGTCAATGTGTCAACTGCTCCCATCAGAAACATATGGGTTGGGAAATAGAACAATGCAATTGAAATGCCCTAGTCATCACATTTCGTTGCAAGATTGCAAGCTGTGCATGTGAATAATCTAGTTTGTTTGATTAATTTGCTTACTTCCCCTATGAGCACTTCTGTTGTTTTCAAACTGTGATGTTGTTTGATTAGTGAACATATAGAGTATGTAATAAAATCTGTATATTCCAAGCTTTCAGTTCATCTTCCAGCAACAATTTGAATGTTCATAGGATAATGTTTCATAATGCTAAAAGGACATTGGGGATCTCCAAGCAAGGACAGTTTGATGCTTCAAAGAAACTACCATTTTAAGAGAGTTTTGAAGAAAGTTGTAGTGACTGTGGTCGCTTTGGGGACAGGAATGTCCCACAAACAGCCCTGAATTGAATGATTTCAATTCATGCTGTATTGTAGGCCAGACCACTAGGAAATTTCCCAACTCTTTTCGAATAGGACCATGAAACTTTTAACATTCACCTGAACAGGCAGATGGAACCTCGGTTTAATATCTTGACTTAAGGCTGCAAACGTGCTACCAGGCTGCAATGCTTATTAAACAAAAACCTGATATCCATTGCAGGCCATCTTAAGACTAGGGATATATTTCAGCAGTGTTGCAACAATGATCATCCTTAAACATAATTTGTACTTTGTCCATTATTTACAGTTGTTTTCCAAGGTAGGAGTTGTCTTTAAACAGTTTAACTTAGGGGTTCTTTTTTGGAAGGGAGATGAAAAACCATATTGACTTTCAAATGATAAATTAGCATACCTAGTTGGTTTGTACAGTTGCTTACTGAATTGTCGACTATCTACTAAGTCAGGGTGGTCCAAACTTTTGGCTGCTGAGGGCTAGATGCCGGATTTCAGAAATATCCAGGGGCCTCAAAAGCAATATTCTGATTAGACAGTCATGTTGCCAGGCAAAGATTGATCCCTGGTGACAGTCTTCTGCTTGGCTCAGGACCTGCCTGTAGCCGGTATTTGATCGTCGGACAATGAATTTGGAATTGGTTGGCGGGCTAGATGCAGACTGCGGGCCGCCAGTTGGAACATCCTGCACTAAGCTATATGCAACTTGCTGAACTGATGGAAGGCATTGCAATTTGTTGAACTGATATGTTTGCTAGTGGTGGTGATGTTTTTGCTGATTCAAATTCATGCTATTTTCATTACAATCTTCCAGTATTATCAGCCTGGCCACCAAGTGTGCCATGCCCAGTTTCCGAATGCACCTGAGAGCTCATGGAATGGTAGCCATGGTCTTCAAGACACTGGATGATGCACAAAGGATTCAGGTACATCTTTCATTCCAAAGATGAGTATGTAGTGTATCAGCATTGAAAACCCACAAGAGTTTAGACCGCTCACATTTGGAATAAAGAAACTCACAACTGCATCTTACTGAGTATCTACTACTCTCAACATGTGTTATTGCCCCACTGGGTATTCCATTTATGGGTAGAGAGGAAGAAAATACTATATGCAACCTGATAGGAGCTTCTTTGCCGTGACTGTACATATATGAGATTGTTGAATACTGTAAACACTTCAGCATTACTGGATCACAATTGTGCTGCATAGATAAATCATAATCTCTCATTCATGCCCGCAACTACATTAGGGGACGGGGCGATGGGGCGGTATCAAACGCTGCCCCAAGTTCACTTTTGCATCCGTGTTCAATGCAGATAGTAGACGTGCAAGTTCATGGCATTCCGCTCTATTAAACTTAGCTTTCAAATGATCACTCCTAATGCATACCCTGCCATGCTTCTTCCAAGATCTTGGCTGCCTCCTCTGAATCAGTAGTTGTTTTTTATTAAAGCCTCATGTGGATTCAGCTGAAACAGCTATTTGTAAAAATAGGCATTACATATTCTTACAACTTTCTTGAATTTATTTTTCATATCTTTTTTCTTGTGATGAGAATCATTAAATTAAGCCCTCATTCTCATTAAACATATTTAACAAGTATCTTATAACATGGCCATTTGTGTGATAATAACTACCATAAATGACCAAGTATCCTTTATATAAGTCCATTCTTTGATTGATTTTCTGAATATATTTAAGTTGCGCTTGCTTCTGTCATCCTGCACTATTGTTTGCTTTGATTTATATGAAATTGATTATTTGGTGGAGTGGACAAACCTGTCGCTAATAACCAAGTGTATGTCGTGCAATTGACTTCAACCAATCTGTCAGCAGTAAATTGTGATCTTAAAAATATCTTGTATCATATTATGACTATTGAGATTTGAGCGGACATTTAATTGAAGTATGTACAATTATATATTTAATTCTCTTTACAATGTGCACGTTATGAATCCATTCTTTGATTTCTGCCATATATATTTATTGTATTATCAGAATCTAGCGCTTTGCACAGCAGCACTAATGTATATCTTGAGCCGGGATCGACTGAACATGGATCTGGATAGAGCCAGTCTCGACTTGATGATTCGACTGCTGGAGATGGAGCAGGATCCCTGCTCACGTCAGCTGAATGAGAAAGAAATGAACAAGATCAAGGAGAAAATCCGCAAACTCTGTGAAACTGTTCACAACCGTCACCTAGACTTGGAGAACATTACAGTAAGAGCTTGGCTCTACAATGTCTATAAAATAGCCTGCTTAAAATAGCAGACAGCCAAGTATTTATAATAATTAGAGATGCTTGCTTTATAGTCCCAAGCCTAATTCTCCAATAAAAACATAATGTTTAGTGATAGACGTGAAGGGCGCAGTACAAATGTAGTTTGTTGTTATTTAATTTTTGTTATCACTTCTTAAATGAGACACAGAATTTTGCATTTGATCTTTATAGCTTAGGTGTGGGGAAAAACTGCTGTTCCTAATTTCTCCCCCTCCCCATTCTTGTAACACAGCTTGATGTTTGAAAAAATGTAAGGTTTTTCCTGTTGATAAATTTGCCAGCTTTTGCAGTGTGTGCCTTTAATGTTTTTTTGCTTAGATTTTTCCATTATAATTGCATAGTGCCAAGCTTGGTAAATTTATCAAATCCACCTCCTTCCCACCACCCCCATGTTCATATGATGGGAGGCATAACCAAGTAAACAGTGCTGACTGAAGAAACTTATATGACACCAAGGGAACATGTGCTAGATTGTAAGCTTATACCTGTCACTATTTCACTTTTACACTAATGAGGTTATTCCTTAATGCTACACTGATTACGTAAGGTAAAAGGTTTACTTTTCTGTAACTTAATTATTTGAAGGAGATGTTTAGTATTTTTATAGAACATTTCCCAACCTTTCTCCTTAATTTATTTTATGTAATACTTGGGATTTCAGCCATGTATATGCAATGTTTGGCAGTTATAAATTATGGAAGATTGAGATCAATTGTTACAGGTTTGGGATGTTTTGATATGAGTTTTGGATTGTTAATCGATTTATGATTAGTGAATTGTGTAAAAAGCCACAGTGATAGTAAAATTGTTTGATTTTCATTGGGCAAGATTCTGTAAGGGAGAGGATGTAGGTAATATATTTTGAGTTTGAATCTGTAATGCTTCTTTTTTAAAAAAATGTGCGTCTTAACCAAGTTAGAGAGGAATGGGACTTCTGTTGAGTTCAGTGGGGTTACAATTGAGAATAAGATATTGGCTGCCAAGATGTCCTGGGGTAAAAAATGATGTAATGTTAGATGTGACTCACGTGGTTATGATAATGGTCATTTGCTAAAGAAATCAATTGTTTGCTCGGAGACTCTTTACTTTTGAACCAGCCAGTTCGACTGCATTGGTCTTTTCTGGTCCTGTCATTCCTATGTTCCAAACTGTTGTCTGCCATGTTATTTGCTGTTAGCAAGTAAAGGACAAAACGTTTAATTAAGTTAGCTGTAAACCTTAAAAATAGTATGTGGGAGGATTTTCAAATATTTATTCTCATGATGGACTAATGCACCAGAGCTGTAATTAGCGTTTAGTATACGTCATGGGAGTATGGCCCAGTACTTTGCAATGTGCCACAAATTAAACATTAGAATAACAGAAAACATGTTGTTCTGTTCTGATTTGGCCATCAGAAGGCACTTGAGAAAAGCGCCTTGCATTCTCCTTATCTCAGCACACTCCCACAGTTTGGGTCACTACAGTATGAGACTTAATATGTATTCCAGAATTCAATGACACAGCAGTGATTTGGTTCATATGCAACTATTTTATATTTTTAGAAAGTTTTCCTTTTCTCACTAGTCAGTGACTCTGTAAATACACGATGATGCTACTTAACTGTACAAACTAGATTCATTCATGAGTCTTTGTAGAACTAGCTGATATTAGCCAGAGCCACAGTAAGTGATTAAATATTTCGCTTCAGTAGCCCTGGCCAGTGCAAAATGTTGAAGGGAGTAGGTTTATCATTTGGGAAATGGGCAGTTTAACTATTTACAGCAACAACTTGCATTTATATAACGTCTTTATATAAAAGGCAGGGTATTGTGATACTGCATAATGGTGGGGCTGGGTGCTGAGCAATGGGGAGAGGGAGATGACCATAGGCGCAGTCTGAGAAGTAGATCTTTAGGTGGGATTTAAAAATCCATAAGGGGGTGGATGAGGCAGGAATTTTGAAGAATTGGGGCCGGTCCAAATATTTAGTGGTGACAGTCTTAGATTTTGTTGTGGTTGTTTTTGTGTCATAATTTTAAGAACTGTATTTGTTTTGACAGATTGGGCACTTGGCTATGGAGACTCTACTTTCCCTCACGTCCAAGCGATCGGGGGACTGGTTTAAGGAGGAGCTGAGGCTCTTAGGAGGACTAGATCACGTTGTGGATAAAGGTACATGTTGCTTCCCTACTCAGTAAATTAGTTAGGGCACCTTCTAACCTATTATTAGGTTTTCTGCATTTCAACATTCTTTTCATTCTCCTCCTCTTTCCCTTCCCTCAACAATTGGATAATTTTGTCCAGTGGAATATGTTATGGGTCATGCCTACTCTGTGATCATCAACACTGCTCTGCAGTTAGCTAGGAGGAGAGAAGAGTAGCTCCTAATCTTTAACTGTTAGGAAAACACTTCATAATAAAAAAAGGGAGTTGCATGTGCCTTACTATATTTAGATAGTAAAATAGCCTGAACACAGACAGTGGTTTATTTATTTATAATAATAATAATGCCTTATCACATTAGGCATTAGTGCCTTATCACGTCTTCAAGACGTCTCAAAGCACTTCACAGAATAATAATAATAAATCCTTGCATTTGATATAGCGCTTTTCACCTCTTCTAGAAGTCTCAAAGCGCTTCACAGAATATGCTGTAAAGTGAATTGACCATATATTTGTGGGTGAAACGCGGCAGCCAATTGCGCACAGCAGTGTCCCATAAACAGTCATGGATTGAAAATAACCAAATTTTTTTGTTTTTGGAGGGATTATTATTAGGCATGTGGAGTAAGGAAACTTACCCAAGGTTTCGCCCTGATTGGAATTGAACCCAGGTGTCTCGCTTGCAAGGAGAGTGCTCTAACCACTGAGCTACAGGATTATATTGTAAAGATAATTGACTGTTTATTTTGTGGACAAATTTTATTTTTATTTTGCAGCAAATATAACTTTTTACACTTACTAGTGTACTAGGCAAAATTAACAATCTCTTGTTTGAAAGTCTTGCAAAATTTAAAAGCTTATTTTGGTCAAAAGTGGGCAAAATCTCAAATGGTAGCAAGAGCACTCAGAACTTAAAACTATTTTGATCTTGATGCTGTGTATTTAATGCCTCATCTTTGTTGCTTTTGACCTGAGAAAGGTAAAGTAAGATTCACTTTCCTCAGCAATGTATACCTTGATAATACAAGTATACCTTGATAATACAAGTATACTAAATAATCTGTTTCCTTTGGTAATAACAGTGAAAGAATGTGTGGAACAATTGGATCGGCATGAAGAAGATGATAAATTGGTTGCATCATTGTGGGGTGCAGAGCGCTGTTTACGGGTGTTGGAGAGTGTAAGTATTACCAGAGGTATATGTAGGAATATAGAGGGGAGGGAGCAGAATCCTGAATTTCCAACCTTATCTTATTATTGGAGAGGCACATTGTAGGGCCAAGCATATTCCTGAAGAGGAGGAGGAGAGACCACAGAGCAATGCATGTCTCTTCTGGGCAGTCAGAAAGTAACATTGCGAAAAGACTAGGAGCTGGCGCACTGTGTGCAGGGTCTCAATTGTTAAGTATAGTGGGGGTCCACAACACAAGATGACAAAAACATGCTTCGAAAATCACTTGGCAGGTTTCTCCCACCTTCTTTGTGCCTTTCAGCTCCTTTGTTGTCGCTTGAGCTTTCAAGATTCTTAGAGAGCAATTTCTACCATTCATGAAGACCTATTTGGGACAGTTATAGTGAATGCTTAGACTATTGAGTATAGAATCTCAAGAATAGTCCATCTACAAATGTATTGGATTGATTTTCCTTTTTTTTCTTCAGGTAACTGTTCACAATCCAGAAAACCAGGGTTATCTTATAGCATACAAAGATTCACAACTCATTATCTCTTCTGCAAGGTAAGTCTGTAGCATGGTGCAAGAAAGAGGATTTATATTTTTTAAGAAAAATTGAGGAAAAGTGACACCCACTGAAAGATTGTAAAAGTGCCAAAAAATGTTTCATTGATAATGCTGCTTTACGGAATGTGACCCAGCTTGATTGTTGTGAGCTTTTGTAGATCAAATGGATAGTATCATTGCAAGAGTTATTACAACATATAAACAAAAATGTCACTGCCTATAAAAATAACACTTGTGGAGATTATTCTGCGAGTTACTAAACTATCATTGGGTTTGGGGTTTTGGGGGAAGGGTTAAGCAGAGTCCCTTTGAAACCAACCATGCGGCTGCATGGTTTAAGCTGATTTAAATTACTGTGAAATTCTTAGATTGATAACATTTTGTTTTACTCATCGTTGATCATGTAGTTTTCTGCATCTTTACTGCCTGTCTTCTCACTTTAAGCTTCCTTTCGAAGTGCTTCCTTTCTTTGTCAATTTCCTTCTTATCAATGGGAACACTCAGCAGGTCAGGCAGCATCTATGGAGAAAGGAAATTGAGTCAACATTGATGTGTACTAGGAAAAACCCAGATGATGTGGTAATGGTCACAGAAGAGGGGGAGGGGGAAGGTGAGCTGTTATGGTCTGAAATTATTGAACAATTCAGACCATAACAGCGCATCTTCCCCCTGAAATTGTTGAATCAATTCTGACCACATCATCTGGGTCCCAGACACACCTTTTCTCTCTGGTCTGCCTGTTTTGTTGCAATTTCCGCCCCCCCCCCCACCACCGGTTTGCATTATTAGCACCTCCATTCCCCCGATTTGTTGCAACTCCCCCCTTTGTTTTGCATCATTAACACCCCTTTAATCCATCATCCTCTGTCTTCTACCCCATTTTCTCCTTTGCCTTCCTTGCCCTGCCTCTCCTCTCTCTGATAGCCCTTAAAAGCCTCTCCCTCCCAACATCCCCCAGTTCTGACAAAGTGGCGTGGACCCGAAATGTTGATTCATTTTCCTTTCTCCATAGAGGCTGCCTGAGTTGCTGAGTGTTCCCAGCGACTTCCGTTTTTGTTTCAGAATTCCAGCATCTACAGTATTTTGTGTTTTGTTCCTTCTTATCAATGTGTCCTTAAGCGTTGTGGGAAACACTAGCCAGAACTCAATCCTCAGAATCAAAATTAGGAGAGTCACTGGAGTTTCTACTGCTTGCTCGAAAATTGTAACTTTCTATTGCAACCAATACTGGGTTTAGGTACTTGATTGTCCAAGAAGCCGTAGCACAAGTGTTTTCTTTATTTCAAACAACTGTTCTGAAATGCTGTACACGGTCCAGTGCCTTGGGATGTCCTCCCGACATGAAAGGCGCTATGCAAATGTAATCTTGTTGCTGTTAAAGAAGCTAACCAAGTATTTTAGTGCCCTGCGTGAAGATTGCTATGATAAATGCAAGTTGTTGTTATTAAATAAGTTGGCAAGTTCAATATACTTCCAAGCTTCTGGTGAAGTGCCACTGAGATGAAAAATCTTAGTTTCTTGGAGTTTGGGGAGAACAGAACGGAAACCTCAGAACAACAATTACCATAGTAATTTAAATTGGAAGATTGCACCAGAGTGAGGGGGAGAGAGTTGAGAGTTTAGTTTTTATTCTGTTTAGGAATGCAAGACTGGTGCTTAAAGTGTCACGCAGTTACCCAGCCAAGACTGAAGATAGCAATATTCGAGTAGGTATATGTGTGCTTCAATAAAGAGGTGATTGTTAGGAAGAGAAGCGGTTGTTAAGAAACTATAGCAACCATAGATACAAGCTCATAAATCAAAAAACAGATGTGTGAAAACTCCCAATTTTCTTGAAAAACACTCCCAAGACAATGGAGTAGATGTGAAGATTACATTTGAAATTAGAGGAGATAGAAGTGAAAAATAATGTATGGTTATCCACCATGGTAAGAGATTGTGGTAGTTGGTTAGACTTCTGAGACATATAGTAAAAACTCTTTAAAGAAGTGAAAGAAATTAGATTTTTATTACTCTACTCTATCGAAAGAGGAGGTTGATCATTGTTCAATGGTTTCACTGTGGGGAGAAAAAAAAGGTGATTTGCACTGAAGGCTTGCAATCTAAAGAAAATTAATATATGTTAAATGGACTTAGCAAGGGAAGAGTGGGAGAGCAGTTATGTGCATTCCATCCTGATAGCACTTTTTGATTAGCTTTCTGCAGTAGCAAAATACTATGGTGAACATTTTTTTAATGTGGCAGGAAACATAACCTCAGTGTGTCAGGTACCAAAGTAAGAGCCTTCGAACACAGAATGATATAATTGAGAGCACAACAATAGTAAGTCTTAATTTATGTCAATAGGCAGGATTGCAACCTGGGAGCCTTCCAGTCATAGAAAAAAATATATAAGACAGTATTTGAATTGCAAACTAGTTAATCTGTTCAAATTCACGATTTTGCACTAAAGTATTATTATCTAGTTGATCTCTTGGTGTTCTTGTTCAGGTTTTACTTCAGTAAGCTGTAGGCTTTAAGCAATAGTATGGATTTAAGCAGTTCAAGCCTGAAAAAAAACGCAAATAATTCAGGCTGGGCTATTTGCATTTGTTTTAGGAAAATGTGTTTCTATTTGACAACTAAAGAATGGAAGCTTTTTTTCTTTGGCCCAAAGGCTTCTATCAAGAAATAATCACTGGCATTTTGTATCCATTTTAAATCTTACACACCTGGCTGGAAATGTTGCTACTGATATTTGCGGCCTACAAAGCATTGGGGAACATAATTTATTTTTTATTGTATTTCACTGGGCTCTAGAGATTGGCCCATGTCAGTTAAACAATTACATAGCTAAGACTGAAGATTAGATATTTTTCTGTTCATTTAGTTTGGAAGAAATATGGGTTAATGATTGGGGTAATCCATTTTTTGCTGCTGTGTATATGAATGTTTACTTCTGTAAATCGGTTATCTTTCCCCCCCCTCCATTCAACACATGTTTTTCCCCCCCTTCTGTTCTCAACAGCGTTCTATATCTTGCTGTGGCCAACAGGTGGTGCACTTTAAGCAAACTGGGTTGACTTCTGTTCACTCAAAGCCACTGAGTGGCGCTCCTCGCAATTGCAAAATAAAAAAATAAAGCAAGCCAAAAATATACTGCAGGTTTCTTTGTGCACCATTTTGTGAAAACAAACCTCAGAAAATTCAGATTTTTAGAAAAATTAGAAATATATGCATGGCATGTATACCATAAGTATCTACATTCACAGAGACAATAGGATCTGGTCATTTCAAAAAACGACTAGCCACATTCAATTGCTCCAGAATTCTAGCTTTTTAAGCTATTTCAAATGTATTTTTTTTAATACTATTTATGAAGACTACTTTTTTGTAAATCTGTAATTTAGTCTGATTCTAAAATTAGAGGTAAAACATTTCTTGGACGACCCTGTTTATAATCTCTTGGAAGTATTGTTAATCCAGTTAATGGATACATTTCACAGGAATTTTAATTTTGAGACCTTCCCCACTTTGCAGAAACTCTTGTTGGCTGTTGAGCAAAGGGAAGGGGAGGTGACCATAGACATAGTCAAATTAATAGTTCTTAGTCGGAATTTAAAGATGGATAGGGGAGGTTAGAGTGAAGGAGTTCCAGAAATTAAGTTGAGGGTATAGCTGCTGAAGCCTCAGCCACCAATGGTGGGTCAGGGTATACACAGCAGGCCCTAGTTTGCTGAGTGGAAGGTGGAGAGCAAAAGAGTGGGGTTGGAGAAGATCACAGAGATGAGAAGGTCCTAGGGCATGACGGGTTTTAAAGATGATGCAGATGAGAATCCTGAATTCGATACATTGAGGGATGGGGATCTCATGAAGCAGATAGAGAACTGGGCTAGTGGCCGTGTAAAGTTTTGTATGGACTGGAGCTTGTGAATGATGGAGCAAGGAATGAGAGTGTCATCGCATATTAACTTTACATGCTAATTAAAATACTAACTGTTTATGTAATAATAATACGTGTACTTCTAGACTGTCAGGCTTGCAATAATATGGTTCATAAAATGGTCATTGTGCTATATGTTGCAGAACATTTTCTATTTATGAACCTAAGCAGTAAAGTCTGTATTTACCACTTCAAATTGCCTGTAAAGTTTTTTTTTTAATTTGCTGGTCTTTTGTTAGTGTTATGATTGCCAGAGTAGGGAACAGTTTGCTGTCTAATAAGGCAATCTAAGGAGCAATGTGCTCGGAATTTTACGTGTTGCTGCACAAGTCACTTGCCCATTACATAATCACCTTCAGGTTCCATCTAACTGTGTTCCAGCCTTTTTAATCCTTCCCCTTGTGTCATTTCTACGAAATTCAGCCTGATTAATCCACATGTGGGAATGCATGTCAAATATTACATAGATAGTGTTTTAATAAACATGTAAAAATTATAATATGCAGCGTCAAAGCTCCCTTTGCATGCAAGTTGTGATTGGCTGCAACCCATCCCACTTGCTGGATGGTCTTATTGGTTCTGTGTGCATCCCAAGGAATTCATGTCACGATAAACCCTTGAAAAGAAAAAGATTTTGCTTCCTGAATTTTCGAGCCTTAATTGAGATAGTGTAGGGTAACAGGTTAGCAGAATAAGAGGTTTAGGGGTCCAATTTCCTCAGGTCATTAAAAGCTTGTTTGTATCTGAAAAGGGGCAATCAAAAAGGATAATGGAATTCTGTGATTCATTACACAAAATTAAGAATGTAAAAGCAAGGAAGGACTACTGTAATTATAACTGTAACAATTGTACCAAACATTAATCAGACCTCATTTAGGTGTTGTGTTCTGTTCAGGTAGTATTTACTGGTCTTCGAAGATCAGTGACATAAAAATAATCGGTGGATGGGCTTAATTTCACTGAGAGGAGTTTTATAAATTTGAGTTACATTCCTGGCATTGAGGAATTTAGGGGCATCTAATTAAGGCGATGGTAGACAAATCGAGAGCAAGAGGACATAACCTTAAAATTAAAGCTATTGTTTCATAATTAAACCTTAAAATATTTCTTCACAAGAAGGATTTAATGTTTAATGCATTCCATGAGGTTTGAAATACAGAATCAATTGAGGTGCTTAAAAAACAGCAAAGATAGTTGGGAAATAAAGAAATAACATGAAGACCAGAGTGGCAAATGGAATTAAAACTAATGTAATGCTAAATGGCAGAGCAGCTCGACAGGCCAAATTACCTATCTGCTTATCTCACAAATTAAGATTTGCCTTTGAAATTAGTACTTTTTTTAAGTATTCCTGTCATTTGTACAGGCTGAAAAGGTACAAGTTGTTGCAGATTTCTCTGAATATGGAGGTGGAAAAGAGAAAATTAATTCGGTTGTTAAACACTGACGTTGACTTGTGGAGAAGGTTAACATGGACTAACGAAAAATAGTTTAAGAAGGAAGCTCTGCAGGAAAGCGGAAATATTATAAGGGAGAGAGAATCATAAAGACTTGATACAGTCTCATTATCTGCTTTTTAATAGGCCCCAAGGGATTGAGCAAGATCCTGGTTTGTTTTGTGTGACACACAATATGTTTTACTGTTTGTAACTGTGCTTCTGCCCTTAATTTGATTAGGTACAGAGCAGAGCTAATACAGATGCTGAACCAGATCTGACACCATGAACCCTTCCTGCACTTGGCAGTCATTATGGGTAATGCTGGTGTCCATTTGCATTCACAAAAGGAGGGAAGTGACAGGTCAGGGAGGTAGCCAAGCCCCAGTAAATTGGTTAATTGTATTACTTTTTAAATTTGCCTTGAGAAGGGAATAGTTTCCAAGACTACATTGTTATATCATCCATCTTTTTAGTGAGTATTCATATGCTCTAATGATCTGGAAAGAAGTAATTTAATTATTAATTCTAGGTTATAATTGTGATCTGCAATGGGGAGAAAAAAAGGCCCAAAGAAGGCTGAAACATTTTGCAATTTCTTTCCTTGGTTGCAAAAACTTTAATTTGTTGACAAAAAGCAAGTAACATACACAGTATGTTGCCCATCGTCATAGCCTTGAATTTTTACTTCTTGTTCAGCATGAAAGCTTAAGCATCTAAAGTTCACTTCTCTAGAGTTGGATACAAATCTCTAAACAAGGTCATTTAATCTGAAATCCTAGTCATGGGTATGCGTAGTTTTAACTACACACATAAGATTTTTTACAAAATGAGTGGCAATTAAATATTTTGGGGCTCAACCAGGCCAGGAGTTGGGACGCTACAACTGGCTTCATAACCTCTGGGTTAAAGTGAGGAGGAAGATGGTCAGAGTTCCTTATCTTGATAGCTATCAAGCAATCTCTGCACTGTGTAACAGTCAGATAGACATTATTAAGCTAGGTTGTGATGTTGCTCAAGGTTGAATTGCTGCCTTGTGTTGCTTACTGTCAATGCTCACAGAATAGTGGCTAATTGGGCCCAGTACCAGTAGGTATATGGAACATGTAGAACCAAGTCATGTACACCATGTTCTCACTTTGTTTGTCTCTTTCCAGGTCAGGTTTTCTTGACATATATTTGTGTGTGGTGGTTGGGGAGAGAGGTGGATGGAGAGGGAAAGCCTCATTTTAATAAGAAGCAATTCACTCTTAAAATGCAGAACACCAGCTCATACCAGAGTTCATTATGCAGCCTGCTTCCAGACATCTGTTAGCATTCTACAACCAACAGCTGGGAATCCTGAGTTTTACTTGTTTTCTTTCTCCCTCTTTGTGGGGGACATGAGGGTACCACTCTGTAACAATCTGTGTATCAGATCATCTGTGTTGGAATCAACTCAAGAATTCAAAAATTAGGAAATAAACCATTTTGTAGCAGTAGGTGATAGATTGAAGGTTTTTAATAACTTTTGTTCCAGTCAATGTTCAGGGGGTTCATTGGAGTTCAAGCAGTTTAAATTAAATTCTCTTGAATAACAGTATCTGGAGGTGCATGTGTAACTGCTAATTTTGTACTAACATTTCAACAAGGTCATTTTGATTGGCGTCCTGTTTGATCCTAAACTGCCCGTGATATCCCACATCCGTGCCATGACCTGTTCCACCTTTCCCCACTTTCACAACATCGCCCAGTTCTACCACTGTCTCACACCGTAGGTCGCCAAGACCCTCATACACACATTTATACATTCATGCTCGACTACGCAAACTCCCTGCTTGTCGGTCTCCCCAACTCCTCCCTCCATAGGCTGCAGATAATCCAGAACTCTGCAGCCCATGTCCCCTCCCGCACTAGGCTCCGTGAACCTATCACCCACATCCTTGCCCAACTGGCTTCCCATTACACAAAGGATACAGTTCAAGATCCTGGTCCTCACTTTAAAAGCCTTCCATGGCCTTGCTCCCCCCAACCTCTGCGACTTCCTAATCCCCTGTCAACCTGCCCATTCCCTCCACTCAGCAGGCTGCAGTCTGCTTCACGTCCCCGGCCGGGCAGGCTTTCAGCCACTCTGCACCCACACTCTGGAACTCCATCCTGCAGTCCCACCACATCACCCCCTCCTTTACCTCCTTCAAGACCCGTCTCAAAACCCTTCTCTTCGACCGTGCCTTTGATCACCCGCCCCCGCCTCCCCCCCTCCACCCACATTGACGTTCTGAGTAAGGGTTGTGGACCCAAAACGTTGACTCACTTTCCTTTCTTCATAGATGCTGCCTGATCTGCTGAGTGTCCCAGCAACTTCTGTTTTTGTTTCAAAAATATATATGGGGTTTGGCTTCATTGTCTACACTTTGCTTTTATGTGATTGACTTAATGTCATATTAATTTCATACTTGTTTTGTAATTTCATGCATCATTCTTGTCATGAACATTGAACAATCATTTAAGGGTATTGTTTGGCATCATGTGCCCAAGGCTCTGTTGTTAAAAATGTTTCCCTTGGATAATCTAAACGTTTCAGGAAGTGTATTCTTGATTTAAAACATGTAAAGGAAGATATTGTTGCCATCTGCTCTCCAGCCAGCTATCACGAAGAGTTAGGCAAACATTCAGCAGATGTAGTAGTTGGGTTACTAGTTTCCCCTGGAGTTTTTCAGTTTTTTACAGTTCATTACAGAACTCATTTGAATACAATGAATGCTACTGATTGGCTTTAATACAGAAACCAGTTCAGTTGAAGATACTGTATCTCAATTGCATTGATTTCATTGAAGGCCAGTAGTGTGAGGCAGCCTCAAACATTTTATGAAGAACTGCCATACAATTTTATGAAGTGTTCTACTAATTTAGGCTTCTCCCTAAATTTCTTTACTTTGCACTTTCCTTCTTTCTATTCAGAAACCTTTTGTAAACCTGTCTCTGACCGTTGCACCATCAGGTACTTCCTTCCCCTCACCCCCATCAGTCTTCCACCCTGTTCAGGCTTGCATTTTGTCACTGAAAAATTTGAGACATTTTCCTTTGTGAAATGCAATATGTAAGTTGCAATTTAGTATGATTTGCTTTGCAGCATTTGAAAAATGCATGAACAAAACTTCTAGAATTCCTCCTGCAGCTCCTTTCTTGATGTTCATTTTATCTGTTTTCTATACAGAGCATTGCGGCATTGTGAACAGTTGATCACAAGATATAACCGAGCAGACACCTTTTGCAAAACAAATAGCAATTGTCTCCCAAAGATCACTGCCTCCAACCATATAGGTAAAGCAGTAGAGGACTGCATGAGAGCAATCTTTGGGGTCTTGCTCAACTTGACTAATGACAACGGTAAGTTAATGCTAAACGTTGGTGCCTACCCTCTTGATTGAAGTAACTTAGAACAGTTAAACAGAAATGGCCCTTCGGAGTATGTAGATTGTAGTTTGCAGCCCGCATCCTGCTGCACTGTATTACAAGCTTATGAAATATTAATGAACACGTAAACAAGTGTGTGTAACAGTAAAGTGCAATAACCTGAAGAAAAATAGTTGCATGCTCCAGTTTGGATTTAGGATTTTTTTTTCTAAAGCATTCTTACGAGGGAGAGAAATCGTACCCTGCTTCAGAATTGTTAATATGCTGATGAGAAAATCTGAAACATAATGCCACAGTGCTGCTGTTTTTCCAGTGGTAGGTCTTCAATTATTAATGTAATTTTTAATGAAAAATCCAAGAAATGCATACTCTACTTCAGCAGGTCAACCATTCTGAAGAAAACCTTGTATTGAAATAATATCGAATTCATCTGGTTTGGTGTTTGCAGTTCATGATCAATAGACTCAGCTTGTCTCACTCAGCATTTCTGATAAAAAAATATATGCCAGAATTTATTTTAGCTCTATGGGTAGTGTGGAGGAGGTGGAAGGATAGAGTTGCAAGGTTTATTTTGTGGCTGTAAAAAATTGTCTTGCATTTGCTCGTGTCACACTGACAATTTTTACAATTCAACTATTGCAATTATTAATAAAATGAGTTAAGTTGTCTTTAGTCTCCAAAATATTCTGGCCTGCACCAGTAATCTCTTTGAATTGGCATTGGTATTTTAATATTTCTGACAGTTGTTGCTTATTCTCGCATATCAATGTTACATGTCTGATGTTGAATGTATGGTGGTATCAGCATGTAACTGTCAAATCACTTTGGGTTCTTAAAAGCTCATTGTTCTTACCTTTATATTCCTAAGCACAGCAGAAATTGCATTACCTTATCTGTCTTACCATCCAAGGAAAATAAAGTATCTTTATCCTTGACATAACTACACTTGGAATGAAAGAACAAGCCTATGGAGCTTATGTCAAGGAGAATGTAAATACTATAATTGTGATATTTTCTTTGTTTTCTGCAACTGTATCTCTTAGTGGACAGAGACACACTCCTGTCTTTAATATCTGCTTTAACCAGTGAGGACTGAATACTAATAAGAGCAGTACACGGGGTTGGTGACAATGGGGCTGCACCATTCTTACTTAACTGTTTGGCACAAGCTAACAATAAAACTCCAGCTCTCCATTCAGTGATCTCCAACAAGAAGCAATATTACATTGCTTCTAGTGATATAATTTTGGGTTTTGTGAATGATGGGGCTTGCNTTTTTCATGTCAGATAATAGTTTGTTCCTTTTCTATGCTTCAGTTTGGCAGTGTGTTTGCATATAGTGGCATTTATGCAGATGTATTTTCCAGATTTGCAAGAATTATAGAAATTTAGAAGTCCTTGTGTAAACCTGGTATTTACAGTGTCCAGGAAGGACTGAAAGGTATTAACCAATATCAACCGATAAAGATATTTTTCAAAACTTTGGATAAGTGTTGATAATTGGTTATATGAGATTAATCAAGGAATACATTCTATTTTTTAGTGGACGTTAAGGTAGGTATGCTATTATAACTAATTATGTTGCTGTTTGTTTTGTTACCTATTTTCTTCAGAATGGGGCAGTACAAAGACTGGTGAACAGGATTCTCTAATCAGTACAACAATGAACTGTGTGCTTCAAGTGCCACAATACATACCTCAGGAACAAAGATTTGATATTCGAGTGCTGGTAAGAAATACCAAACTGTACAGGCAATGCTGAACACGTTTTTCAAATAATGTACTTTACTATCAATTTTACTTTCCTCCTGACATGAAAGCCACTATGTAAATATAAATTTGTTGTTGTACTGTAGCCCATTTGTCTTTTTTTTACTGATATAACACAATGAGGGCATTTTTGAAGTTGATCATTCTCCATTTGATAAGTTTTTTTTCCAATTCATCCCTAATATGCCTAATTATCTCTTTAAAACTGCATTAGAACTGTTCATAAATGCAAAAGGATCAATTCACAAAGCTTAGACAAAGTTCTATTTTCCTTTAGTCACTAACACCCATCAACACAACATGGAGTACACAAAGCAGAAACATACATTGTTCACTACCAATCTATGAATCTGGTTTACCTCACAGCATTGGGAAAGGAATTTCCAACATCAGTGGTGTCTTGACAAAAGTCTTGTGTGTGTCAGCAAGGCTCAGTTGGTAGCACTGCCACCTCTGATAGAGGGTTATGAGTTCAAGCTCCACATTAGTACTTGACTTTGTAGTCCAAGCTAATTACTGAGGCAGCACTGTGTTGTCAGAGGTGCTGAAGTTTAGATGAAACATTAAAGCTAAGACCACAGTTGCCTGTTAATGTAAACATTAAACATTAAAGATTTTCCTGATATCCTGGAAAACAATCCAGATTTTCCTGGATTAATCCACTATATTAATTTAGATGAACATGGCTGTTTGTGGGACCCAAGTGGTTGAAATTGCTGTAATCATGCTAGCACAGAAGCAGTGGGAATTGAGTTCTTTCTCCCCCATCTTGACCCAGAGCTATACATTTGCTGTCAAATTGGAAAGCATGAGCAATGGTGTATTTTGTATAGAGACTAAAATTCTCTGAAGGGTTTCTTAAGACTGATCTTATTTCCCATGGTTTTGTAGGGTCTGGGCCTGCTGATTAATCTGGTGGAACACAGTGCCCGCAATAGGCATTGCTTAGTTGACATGGAAACCCCTGGCTCCTTCGACTCATTTTGTGCTGCGGACGGAGATGATAGTTTGCAGGTGGAAGGGCAAGTTGGTGCCATCCAAGCTTTAGTCCAGGTGAGTGTCAATTATTCTTTTAAAGCTTCAATTTGAATAGATAAGAATATACTTTGTGTAAAAAGGTTAAGATTAATCGAAAACCCATTACCAGGATCCAAAGGAACCTCCAGTACGAATGTGATTAACTTATGACATTATTTCTATCAAAATTACAATAATTGGACTTAATTCTTATTATTAGAGCTCTGGGTACAAGCAGACTAGAAGTAATGTCCAAAAAGGTGATATATGAAACACAGGGATTATTATTATATTATGAAAACTTGTTATCTCTCCCAACATGCTTCAGGGATTCTGAAATTGCAATTGTGCAATGATCAGAGGCACGAAAGGTCTGGTACAAAGTTTTGAATTGAGACAATTAGAGAATGTGTAATTATAAGTGGAAAACATACAGACTTCCAATCCTCCTGTAAAATCTCCCAAGCCAAGTAAACCATTCCTATTCTTCTGTCAAATTTCAGTCTCCCCAGGTAGAATAAAGGTACTTCCAGGGGCAGCATGTGTCAGTATTTCAGCATCTGAGGAAAAGTGACTTATCTGGAGGTAACAAGATATTCCTTCACACAAGGAGATGAACATTCTGGCATAAGTCCATCTCACCTTAATAAAATGTCTGTATTGAGCACACTTGTGTAACTTATGTATGGTTTTCAAATGCTGTGGGTAAAAAATTGGATTCTGTTTTGTTTTCTTCAGCTGTTCCTTCAGCGGGAACGAGCAGCCCGGTTAGCGGAGACAGAGACTGATGATTTTATTAAAGACACACCAGTGCCACCTCAGGACCAGAGTGGTCAATGGCAGGAGACCGCTGGATCTCTGGAATGGGTGCAGTCAGAAAACATCACCAAGACTGAGGGTGAAAATGAAAAGAAGGAGGAGGAGGATGAAGAAATTGATCTAAATAAAGGTATTGAAAGAGCACTTTGAGTGAGTAAAGTCATGTCTTCAGCACGGTCTCTTTAACCGTGCCTTCAGCTCCCCTCTCCACCCCCTCCTTGCTCCCTCCCTTCCCTCCCCCTGACCATTTCCCCCCTGCTCGGGTCCTGACCCAACTGTACAGTGTCTTGGGACGTCCTCCCGACGTGAAAGGCGCTCTACAAATGGAATCTTGTTGTTGTTGTTAATCTGTCAACTGATCTAAGTAAACGTTTATCTCCATAGGTTAATAATTTGTTTGCATTAACAACTACCTTAGTCTTCTGGTGCCTAAGGGAATTTCACTTAGAGCCCAAGACCCTTATGGGCCATGTCAAGGACCCCCTCCATTCACTATTTTAAAAAATATATATCAGGGATTCTGAAATTGTTATGTGTAGACAGCTATGTATGGATTGTAGCTTACTATTTGAAAATTGTGCAATGTGACCATCAGAAATTCTCCGTTTTAGAGATTATTCACGTTTCTAAGGACAAGGAGAAAACAATCCTTTTTGTTTTTGTGTTTTTCATTCTTTAACTTTCACATCAGGTCTAATTTTGGAAAGAGTTTTTCTCCTAATTTGTAACTTCTTAACAGCCCTGCAGCACGCTGGGAAGCACATGGAGGACTGCATCGTGGCCTCATACACTGCACTGCTTTTGGGCTGCCTCTGCCAAGAGAGTCCAGTGAGTATCTGTATGGTTGTTAGAGAGTCTGCCCTGTGATTAATAAACTGTAGAAGTAAACTCTTATTTCTCAGAACTGGAGTTTGAATCAAAGAAAATACAGTAGAGCCCTGTTCTAATGCGCTAGTTTTACATAGTTAACATCCCAACCAGCCTTGTAACAGGACAAGATTGCCTGACAGTGATGTTATTGCACATCTGCAAAGAAAGCAGCAGGCCAGTTTCCTGCATTAAAACATGGCTGATTTTCAAGTTATCTGGTGTCCACTGCCTTTGTTTCCTGCATGCTGTACGTGTGTAGCGTGCTGTGCTGATTACCTATCTCAGCTGTATATTTTTTTTACACGCAGAAGCCAGCCCTGGGTCCACAGTATAGCGAACCCATGTTGTAACTAAATGCTTTATCATTTGATTTGAATTTGAACTGTTTTGAATGATGTTCCTAGATTATTTTACCTCCCTGCTGATCGAATTCAAGCCTCTGGTTCTCTTTCAAATCCCTCCATTTCCTTGCTCCACTCTACCTCTGCGATCCAACTCCCCAAGTCACTGCCTCCACGCAGAAGCAGCAGCATGTTTCATGGTCCCCATCCAATCTCTCCCACCATTGATGGGCAAACTTTCAGCCATTCTGCCTGTACACTCTGGAACTCAATTTCAGAATCCCTCTCCTTGCACTTCCCTCCCTGCTTTCAAAACCTGCATTAAGTCCGATCTTTTCGACTGTGCTTTAAAGCTCCCAGTTGGCTGTGTGCAAGATTTGAGATGTCCTCCCAATGTGAAATTCACTGTATAAATGTAATTTGTTTTCTGTTTTTTACTCTTAGTGCAGAGTAATTTTTCTAAACCTGTTTTACTCCATACTACTTTTGCTTTGTAAAGTCATCTGCAGTTTATATCAATCTGGATGGAGGAGCATGGCATGAAAATCAATGGAAATATTTTCTGTAATGCTTCACTCCTTTCTTGAGTTGGATTATTACTGCCACTTTTATCCATGATACTAGCAATTTTAATAATTTTAACTTTTCTCATTTAGTTGAATGTCACTACTGTGAGGGAACATTTACCTGAAGGAGACTTTTCCATTATGACTGAGATGTTGAAGAAGTTTTTGAGTTTCATGAATCTTACAGTAAGTGAAACGTTTAAAATAATTGATCAGTGTAAGATGCCCTTTGGAGTGTTTGTTGGAAGTCAGGACCCTGTTTTGATGTTGGCCTAAAGCTTTTCTATTTCAATTCTAAATGTATCTTGAAGATTAGGCAGTTTTATTTGTTGAGATATTTTACATCAAGGTTATCCACTAAATTGAATCAACCCCTTGCTGCTGTAATTCTCGGTGGTCTATTGTTGCTGGGCCAAATGATTCTTGTTGCACACTGAAAGCCAGGAAAATTTGTAGTCAATTTATTTTGGTTTTTTTAATGCGTTTTAACTTTTCTACTAAATTAATTGTCTTTTAATTTCATTTCTTACAATCTGGTTCATGTTATTGATTGGTTAAATAAATGTTCCTTGACTTTATCTACAATAGTCACAAAGTTGATTGTGCAAAATGTTCTTTCCATGATACTATTCCAGGTTACATTATGTGTGGTTCCCAACTAAATGAGTGGATTGCATCAGCTTTCAACCCACCTGCTAAGCAGCATGCCAACTAAGCCTAAGGGTTAGTTAGTTTTGGGGGAAAATGAAAGTTTACATCTGTTGATTCGCACCTTCAATTAGCCATGATTGATATTGCCAAAGAAAAAAATCAAGTCTCAAGCGTAACTAAATTTCCAAGTGAATATCTATTTTCACAGTTGACTTTTATCCTGTACCAACTCAGTCATGCCAATGGAAATTCCTTTGCATATGTAAACAAAACATTCCTTGTGTGGTGTATTTCTGTTAGCCTTCAGCCACAGGGCTCTTGCTCTGTGGAATGCTCCCCAAATCCATTTGATTCGCACCCCTCCTAAAAAAAACTATTTCTTCAAACATTCTTCTCACCACAACTTGTGTCTTCAAATAATTTTAAGAACTGCAGAATAGCACAGAACTTTAAAAGTTAGTATTTTACAAATGCATATCTTTTACATTGGTCCTTGGGTGTCTGATTTTACTTTTTTTCCCTTCTACAGTGTGCTGTGGGAACGACAGGACAGAAATCCATCTCTCGAGTGATTGAATACTTAGATCATTGCTAGAGGATACTGAGCTTCTGCTGCAAACCGGCTGTGTTTCGTGCTCTGTACCTGAGAGTAACCGATTTTCACCAATGTACCTGAGCAAGACTTACCCCACCCCATATTGAAAGGAATGCATCATGGGCAATTCCCCTCTCTGCTTTATCAATTAGTGACTTTGCTACTGATGATGACCATAGCTCCTGTGCAATCTGAGTAGGAAGTTACAACTGGGATTCTTTTATCTAAATGAGGAGAGCGAATCTGGCTGGGTAGAATGGGCCGAGCCATATCTGAGGATAAATGTGTGCTTTAGTTTTTAAGATTAGTATAAACTAAGTGTATAGACCTAATTATTCCATACCCATGCAAGATAAATTTGTGAATTGCCCCAGCATCAGTCTGTTTATATTTGGAGTTTTATTCTACATGGGTCAAAGATCACAGCATTGAATTAAATGTTCACATGCTGCCTGACTATATCTGCAATATTTTTTTTACTGATGGTAATCATCATTAAGGAAAATATATTTAACAAACATATATTTTGAAATAGCTGTAACTGGGTATGGAATAGGCGATCATTGCACCAAACTCTTTCTGGATATGATGACCTCAAATTAATGTAGACACTTTGTGTACGATAATCATTGGTCACATAAATGAGCAGTTGTGGTGCCTTCGCAACCGATTTTACCAGGTTTTGAACAAGTCACGCAGTCTAATTTCCTTCAGATAGCAGTTAATTTCATAGCTGATAATCATTCATTTTAATACAGACTAACTGGGATATGGGTTTCAAGCCAGTGTTCCATATATACAAGTTACATAATGGGAATAATTATTACAAAAACTTTGAATTGTTTTGTTTTAATTCTCCTAGTCTATTTACCTTGTATTAACCTGAATGAATGAGCTATGCCTCACAATGAATAGATTTGGGACTGTTGCATCATCACCTGCAAATAGATGAAATCTTGATACCTAAAAAAGCGATCTACATCATAATTGAATTAAGTTGTCTACTTCGAAACAAAAAGGAAGGTTTTGCACTGGCTAGATTAACTATATCAGGGTGAACAACGATTTTACAGACAACAAAGATATCCATAGTATGTACTTTAATCCTCCAAAACTGAATTCATTATGCCTCTTATTTTGACTTTGTTTCTTTGTGAAGGAAGTAAATTGCAAATTCAAGAATCTTAATGAGTTGAGGTGCATCTGCATTTTAGTTGCAAACTGTTTGATCTAACCAGTAGGAGGCTTGTATGTTAGAGGACTCGTCATGATTAATCTGCATTTAAAAAATTGCATCTTTCAGTTTAATGAATAGGGACCGATAAATAGCCATAAATGTAATTTAAAATGTCTTAAAAGTTCTGACATAGTGGACAGTGCTTCAGTAGAATTTATTCTGTAGCAGTCAGCGAAAACAACATTGTCACATAAGTCCCACAAAGGACAGAGCTGGTTTTCAAGGTTTCGCACAAATGAACGATGTTGGTACTTAATTTCTGCAGTCCCAAACAAGCACAGTTTTTTTTTAACAGGTGAATCGCTCCCACTATTGTCATTCTTCATTTGGGACAGCTGGAACTGGCATTTATCTCTGCTCTGTCAATCGCTTTTGATGGACTTTTTGCACGGCAGTCTATCGCTGAGAAACATGATAAGTTTCTAAGTGGTCTTTCCAGTTGAGAATTGGCAGGTTAGCTGCATGAGCAATGAAGATGCAAATCTTAATTTCAGTCCTCTACTGTTTCTATTGTAGTTTGGACTTTTGAAGGAGTAAGTAAGTAGACAGCTTGATAAAAAAGGAAATAAGACTGCAACCAAGATGGATATTTTTGTCATCAAGGGGCTTTCCACAGGAAAGAGCAGATTACATTTTAAACTTACTTGGGTACTTTGCACTGAAATTGCTTGCCTATTTTAACTCCATACTACAGTAAGTGTAATGCCATCTTCCATTTTCATTGAAACTACATTGGGAACTGCACAAGTTTACCTGTTGACTACTGAAGGAATCCACTGACCAGGTTTTTCAGGTTGGAATTCTGAACTAGCTCCTGGTAAACATGCTTGTGGATTACTTGCTTTCATTAGGCCTCATTCCAACCATTGTTCTGTATTTTCTGACGTTCGTAATTAGATACTTCATAAATTTACTACAGTAAATATTTTGTTTCAGCACCTTTGTCCTGATCATCTGTGTGGTTTCAGTTCTGATTGCATTTTTAATAGTAAACCCAAACATTCTTCGTGACTGTTAGAGCCATTATTAAAAATGTTGCACATTAAGCACCTTTTATTAAAAATAACCTGCTGTGGATCATTGAGTGAAGAACAGTGAAAATAATTTTAACCATAGGATAAGTATAGTTTGTGAGTAAATGAATGATTTCAAGTTATTAGAAAAGGAGTGAGATTGTGAGTGATTTATCCTGGTGTTTCATCAGTTTTCAGTCACCCATGTAAAAAAAATCTTTTGCCTTTTTGAAAAAGGCAAAGTAGGAGAATAGAGATTTTATTGGAGAATTTAATGTTTTTTTAAATCCGTTATGCAGAAAATTATTGATGCAGCGTCTCACACGCTTTTTTTCCAACAATGATAAAATAATTGTATCCAAGACAACAACTAATCCAAATCACTCAGTCACCCTGAAGCTCTCCCAACAGTAAGTTTATAATTTATTTTAATAGATTGGGAGAAATGGTGGGGTAGGTGAATTGGTGGGATAAATAGATATCTTACATGCTTGTCAGCTTGCTTCTCTCTATTAGGGTCCTATGTGAAATTACTTTGGCCAGCCTTGATGAAATTTCAAGTCAGCTTTGATCCACAATTCCATACTGCCCACAATCTAGTACTAAATTTGAAATAACATGTTCAGTAATGCCATTTTTGTGGGAAGAATAAATATCCAATGGTGCATCTCTGGCTGGAATTAAATGAAACCATTGTTGTACAGTAGAGGGAATTTATTCTGCATCTAATGGTGTTATATCTTACCTGGGATTCCTCTGTGGTAACTAATTGGCAAAGATAGAGAAATCTTCTGTTCTGTTGCCACCCCTCACCTTGAACAGAAAATATATTTTAAAAAAGTGACAGAAGGTTCACACAATAATCCAGCCATGTGATTTTGATACATTAGTAAACCTCTGAACTCTTTGTTTACCACTCCCCTGCATGCATGTCCTGTATGTAGTCTGATTGGTTGCCATGTCAAACAAGCCTGGTTTGTATTCTACAAGTCTTAACCTCTGCTTTGGGTGGCTTTATTGAGGGATTTTGTTATGTACTTCACTACTAGCTACAAAGTTAATTCAGTTAAAGACAATAAGAACTATTGAGACTAGATTAATTTCACGAACATATTTCTGTCCTCTTTCATCAACTTGCAATGTCTAGCTTCATTTCCAGGCCTCTTCCCAATGCTGTCCATTGGCTGTTTGGAGTTGTGCAAAAGTAATCCGCGATTGCTTTTTTTAATTCACCAAAGCTACTGTAGGCTAGAGCCCTTTTTCTGATGTCACAAGCTGATCAAGATCTTGGCAAATGACAGTCTTAGCTTTCCTTAAACTATGATCTCACTTGATGGCAAAGTACTTTCATTGTAAAGGAACTTGTAAAAAGCCTGAATAATTCCCTTTCATTTTTGCTCCAAAATAATGTGGTGGAGACTTGGCATGTCACCTTTCTTAGTTGCAATATACCAGTCCCAAGCTGAATTGTACTTAAATTTTGAATGAAGGGGTTCTAGGATTGATACCTGGGTATGGGAAAGATGCNTTTTTTGCCCACCTCACAAGCAACTAACGACAGATGCACCATACATTTGGGTATTTTACAGGCTACTTCAGTTTGGGGGCACATCAAAGTCTCTTCCCAGGAAGGAGCCATGTAAAGCTTGTTTGCATTCTCTTGGAGTTTAGTTTTAAGTTATATTTACATCCCACCCTTGCCATAAAATTGATATTTTCTTTAAAATGCAAAAAATGCATTTAGTAATGACTGGTCTTCACATGTATTCATTCCTGCCTGAATTCCACCAATGAATCGCTGCCAAACAAATAGACAATATGTTTTTATTTGTATAAATTCCAAGATGACTGAATAGCCTTGATTAATTCTTAACAATTGAATAATACCAACTGAAATATAATTCAGTACCGTTTTATTGAGTCATAGGTGCTTTTAAAATCTAGCTTGGAATGTGGATTGAAATCTGTAAATCAGAAAGCAAATGAACAGTTTATTGCAACTGAAACAATTTTTTGAGGGAAGAGTATTTGTCTGCCACCCTTTTCTTCCTCAATAGGCTTCATTTTCTGATCTAGGGTAAATGAAAGATAGTGTAAATGAAAATATATTTTCCTGATCCGAGGTTAACTCAACCAAGTTGCATTGTACAAATTATCCAAATCTCAGTTAGGTGCATTAACAAAAGTCAAGTCCTAATGTGTTGCACCTTATGTGTTGAACACAGATTCTGTGCAAGTTGTGTGTAGACAATCTCAACCAAAGAAAAAATTGGTTGCCTACAAAATGATTTAGGTAATTCTCCAAATGAAAAGCCTTTCTACACAATGCCTCAAATTTACAAGAGTTTACCTGCTGGTTCATGGCAGTACTAAACCGTCAGTTGGTAAGGTTTTGATAACATGAGCTTGCACATTATTTAAAATTGGTTATAAAAAGCTGTATAGTGCACGTACAGTATTCCCATTATATGTCTTGATATCCCAGTCAAACCTGCTATTTTTACAGAAGTACATTAAAGTGAATTACAATTCATTTTAATCAAAAAATTGTCCACATCATGAATGTCTACGATTCACACGACTTGTTCAGGAATTTTTAAATCGTGTACCTATCTCAAGTCTTTTGTTAAAATTTTTCATAACTATTACAAGTACTTTTAATGTTTATGATAATGCATTTCATTTTTATTCGGAAATGCAGGCTATATGGAAACTACTAGTTCTGGTAATTGGTGTTTTACATTTCTTTATTTGCTATAATAACTTTGCGTTTAAGACGATTGGCCCTGACAACGAGTAACAAAGCATATCCTGCTACAATCCAAGGATTTCCTACATCCCAGTGCATCTTGGAAATGGAATTAGCCTGCTCAATTCAGTCATCACAGTCTTTTCATTTTGTCAGCTGAGAATGTTTTGCTGAGTGTCTATAGAGACCATAACAATAGTTCTCTTTGAAATTGGGAAAGGTCTTTCCTATCACCACAGATGAATGAAAAGCAAGATCACTTGATGTGCAGAAACCTTTTACTGCAAAAATATTTTCATAGTAGCCAATTTTGCATTGTTTTTATCTATAACGAAACAAGTTATTTCATACCTTCGAGTTGGCTATCCATTAGAATTCCTGAATGTTTCCTCATCTCCAGAAGAGGGAATAATAATTTAGTCTATCCTTCCGAACAGATAAGTGTCCTTGGTATATGGGTAAAACCTGCCCATGCTCTGTACAGGATAGGAAATGCATCTCCCCTCACTTATATCCCAGTAATGCAAACAAAATATATTTGTTCGTGTGGATGAATAGTAGCTAAAGAATAACTTTGTACATTGGACATGAAATGTTTCCACTGTTCGTTTACACAAGCAATAAATAGAGCAGGGAACCAAATTTATATCAATGCAGGTGGCCAATAGTTAATATAAAAGTTGAAACCCAGTTCCACCATCAAGGTAGAATTTATACATGGTTAAATCCTTTAAAGCTGGTGAAGTTTAGGTGTCTTAATTCAGGCACCTTTGTTTCCTTGTGTTCTGCTAAATGGATGAACTGATATTTTGGAGGAAAATTCACCAGTTCATCCTAATATCACTATCCTTGGCCTTTAGTCTAAATGTACATTTGTGCTATGCTCCAGTTTCAGCAACCTGGCAAGTATGATGAGTGTGATTAATCAATTGTCAGAAGTGTAAGGCTTATGGTAACACCCATAAGTTTTGTCTTTCACTTTCCATTGTTCTCATCTCAAGTGGATGGCGTAACAGCTCAGTAGTTCAATCAGCAAAGAGCTTGCAAACCAGAAGGCTGCAAGTATTATCTTGAACTGCAAGCAAGGTGCCTTGTCATTTTGAATTGTGTACAGGTAGTAAATGCTTCATTTCTGGTGCATGGGTCAATCTGGTGAGACTGGTCCTTTCCCTGCAACATTGTTTCTGCAGTATAGTCAAGGTTTCTGCAGGATCCTATCACCCAGTGGCATATTGATAACCATTCAGTTGTTTATCTTGTAACCACTGACGTAGCAACATTGATGACTGTCTTGGTAGAATTTTCATGGCCCACATTTTGTTGTACCGTCAGCTAATAGGTGGAGTGGCAGAGTCTTAGGTTTTTAGGCAGCT